GGAGCAAAGAATTAACATCACTTTGACATTGAATGAATGATTCCATGTGGTCCAGATTTCTTTAACTTCTTTTTAGGAAGCCTTTAGGTATATCTTTTTGAGTAATGAGGCGATATCAGTGACATATGTATCTAGTCTTCACAATTAACTATCTTTATGAACCAAAGAAAGTACCACACAGTGGCAGTAAATACTGACTCAACAGCCATAGACTCATTCATTTCTTCTAGATGTCAAAGGAAAACCCAGTGAAGACCACTGTATACTACAGCACTCTAACCGGTAAGCAAATTGGAAATTTTAAATTATCAAAAAAAATTTTTTTTCTGGTACTATAGCCCTGGTATGGTCTTGTATTGAATATTCACTAAATGATTATCTTCCACTGTGTTGAGATGGTATTATATATACAATAGGCATTTGGTTGACAAGAATAAGTTTTTCTTTTCTTTTTTTTTTAAGAATGAGTTTTTCAATGCTTACACTAAACAAGTAAACTTGATTACTCAGACATCCAAATGGAGGACCATATCCTTAGTCAGCTACTACCTCAAGTAACCAGCCTGTGTCTATCCATGGAATTGCCTGAGCCCATGGAGAGGGCCAGGGTGGAAACACAGATGTACATATGGGTGTGCCTCAGTGCTATCTAAATGCCTTGGTACTCTTCCCTTTCAGGGGAAGGAAAGTCAATCCCATTTTCTCCATATTTATTATTGTATTCTTCAGTTAAGCTCCAGTAGTAGCTGGGGAAAAAAAGTGCAGGGGGGTGGGGAGGGAATGATAGGTTGAGTAAACAAATGTCAGCTCAGCTATTCTTGTGCTAGTAAGCATACTATATTATAGGAGGAAGAATTGTACCATACAATAATACAGGATCAATTTTTGCTCCTCGTAGAATATGTGTCATCACGTTAGCAGGATCTCATCCAGTTCTTCAAAGTGGAAAAACAATTAAAAGCATTTCTTATCAAATCAGTACCAACTGTAGCAGACTTCAGAACAAAGTCTCTGGGAAATTTAAGCGGGTATGTACCTGTATTTCTTTACTGAAATCCTCTATTATCATAATAATGATAGAGCCAGTCAGTCTTATAACCAGCAATATATACTCAGCATACTTCCCTTGTAGTTAGAGATGATTTTAAGAATCATCTTTAACTTTTAACTCTAAAAGAAATTCTCAGGCCAAAAAGATAAGGTATTTCAAAAGGTATATTATCTGTCATATAGGTTCTGTACCACCATCCCTACCATCCCCAGGATAAAGGATAGAGAAAGCGGGCCTTTGAAAAAACAACTCTAGTACCAATATAAGAAGATATATTGTCCCTTCTAATTGTATTGAGCCAGTATGTCAAATTTTATAAAACCTAGGTGATCAATTCTTTTTTGTCACATATTTTCATATGTGAATTTAAAAGAGAAAAAAAAAGTTCTGGAGTAGTGAAAAAAAATCAGTCTTAAGAAAATACACAGTATTTGCTTCATATCATTTCCCATTCCTAAATCATTGCCAGTTTAGTACACATCTAGCTATACCTTGTTCCTCCAAATAGTGTTCAGTTATAGAAAAATGTTACCTCTATCCTCTACAACTCTATGCAAGACCAGTACTATTAATATTAAAGGAGGGTATCACACCAAGGACAATTCAATACCATCATACAAAGCCCCCGGATAGGAAAGTTTCAGTGGATGACTTCAGTTCAGTTCAGTTCAGTTCAATCGCTCAGTCATGTCTGACTCTTGTGACCCCATGGACTGCAGCACGCCAGGCCTCCCTGTCCATCACCATCTCCCGGAGTTTATTCAAACTCATGTCCATTGAGTCGGTGATGCCATCCAACCATCTCATCCTCTGTCGTCCCCTTCTCCTCCTGCCCTCAATCTTGCCCAGCATCAAGGTATTTTCAAATGAGTCAGTTTTTCGCATCAGGTGGCTGATGTATCGAAGTTTCAGCTTCAACATCAGTCCTTCCAATGAACATTCAGGACTGATTGCTTTAGGATGGACTGGTTGGATCTCCTTGCAGTCCAAGGGACTCTCAAGAGTCTTCTCCAACACCACAGTTCAAAAGCATCAATTCTTCAGTGCTCAGCTTTCTTTATAGTCCAACTCTCACATCCATACGTAACTATTGGAAAAACCATAGTCTTGACTAGATGGACCTTTGTTGGCAAAGTAATGTCTCTGCTTTTTAATATTCTGTCTAGGTTGGTCATAACTTTTCTTCTAAGGAGCATCTTTTTATTTCATGGCTGCAGTCACCATCTGCAGTGATTTTCATTTACTGAGTTCATACAAAGAGCTTCTGCTAATTACCCTAACTGTTCTATAAGACTCTTGTTTATACTAGGCCTAAAGGCCTCTAATAACCTGCCTTCTAATTATTGGTTCCCCCCTCCTCATTCAAGAAGAAAATGGACTTTAAAAGGTATGGACCATTCTTTGAAGTCTACAAACTACAAGTAACAGTTAGTGCTTGTGATGTTCCTGTGATAAATCTTTGTCCAAAACAGTAACACCCTTGTTACTACTAGGAACAGAGAGGGACCTGCATATGGAACCCTCTGTAGATAAACTTTGACTGGATCTCAGCACTGCTCATCATTTATTCTCCTAAGGGAGGTGACAACAAGGGGTTAAAACACTTCTTTTTGACACAGACCCAGTGGTAGAGAAACCGTCTAGGATGAACCCTTAACTGCTTCTCCCAAAAGTGGGGAGTCACACGGACTACTATTTTGAAACAAAATCACCACATGTAAGAGAAGTGAAGGGAAGGTGCTGACACCTGCATACTGCCTAATTAATATCGTTTGAGTGGTGAAGAGGCCCTAAAGAACAGCATCTAGACCTCAGATGTTCACTGCAGTAAAAATTCCTGGAAGAAAAGAGCAACACATGAGAGATGCTTCCATCCGTTTCCTATGAGCCTTCTTGTAGGTATTTGTCAGAACCTCCCCAGATACATCTGTACAGTGGAGTACGTGAAACTAAAACCGTGCCGTGACATTCAGACAGATGACATTCAGTCAAAATGTGGTATTCCCTAGTGAGAGACAGGGTAAGGAGTTAATTACTCTTAACTGCTACTTAAAACTTTTCTGTTTTCCACATTTTCCTTAAAGTGCAGTTTTTTAAAATTAGAAAAAAGATCCCTCTTCAAAAAGCCTCAGTGATTGACCCTAATGAAGTCCTTTTATCTATTAAAGTTCTAATGTAAAAATAAGTGGGAATCTTAAACTTTGTATGACATTGCTGTTGTTTGCTATAATACTGGATTTTATATTGTTTATTGATAAGATTTCCCTTCCCTTTTGATATCTTTATACTTGGGTATATGGAGCTTTCTCATATACAGTTAAATATAAAGTATAATAAGACAAAATATATTAATACATAACTAAACTATTATCACATGTGTTTTTGACTGCTTTTTCCCCTAAAGCTTAGGATGTTACCTGACCCGTAGCAAGCATTTGATATATAAATGTGTGAAGAAATTAATGTTTTTTTCTGTACTTTACTCATTTTTACTTAAAACACGAATTCCAGGAATATATGCTATTGTAACACTGAGGGCTGCCTCTCAAGGAAAAGTAAAAATGTTCATCAATTAATTTTTCTTCCTTTTTATTATCAGGGGGCACAGTTTCTCACAGAACTTGCACCACTGTGTAAGATTTACTGCTCAGATGGAGAAGAATATACCATATCTAGGTAAGTTATTTTTGAACCACAACTTTGGAGAAGCACAGGAGGTGATATTTTTCTTCAAAACAGTTGTTTTTTTTTAACTAGCTGTGTTAGAGGACGGTTGATGGAAGTGAATGAAAACATTCTCCATAAACCATCTATTCTTCAAGAGAAGGTAAGAGGGGCTGGGGAAGTATGAGCCCGTCCTGTACTTTTTATCTGATTTTTTAATCATTCATCAGCATTAAATATTGTTTCCCTTCTAGCCATCTACCGAAGGCTACATTGCAGTTGTGTTGCCCAAATTTGAAGAAAGTAGAAGCATAACAGAAGGGTTATTGACACAAAAGGAGTATGAAGAAGTTGTGCTGAAACGCCTCAAAGCCACAACAGCTACCTCACGAGGGGTGAGGACTGAGGTGGAATAAAAGCAACACAGCATCTTTGTCTTTACCCGGCCTACCAGTCCATGCACCAGGGAAGAACCAGCATGGGTGAAGCCGACTTCACACCCGCCATCCGCAGGGAGGTTTTTTTTTTTCCTTTAGTATAAGAATTTTCTCATCATTTTTAATGGGAAACAACTAAAATCTCATGGAAACAGTCCAGTAGGGAAATTTTTACTATTGAGTTTTCAAATCATATATTTTTTTCTTCAAAATCAGAATATATTATTTTGATGTCTCACAGGTAGATCCTGATATAGATTTGACCTGCCTGTAGATAATACAGAGGACTAATAATAGAGAATTCAGATACAAATTCAGCAGCACCTTTCCTTAGTTCTCTAGTTATACTCCTGTCCAACTCCCGCCACATCTTGGTCAAGTAAGTCTCCACGCTGTCATTTGAACGGTGTGGAATTGAGGGAGAAAACCCTACGTTTGCTCTTGAAATAAGATTTGCATTGAACCCTGAAGTAGGACTGAAATTTCCAACAGAAGAGAGCTCCAGACTGGCGTGCTGCCAGGAGTGCTGAGTAAAGATCTGTTCTGCTGCTTCTCCACCTCAAGTTTGGTGCTGATCTCTGCCAGCCTCTCATTAGTCTTGTCTCGTTTCTTTTCCAGTGACTTTCTAACTTTTAGTTCCTCTAGGTAGTGTTGCTTATATTTTTCCAATGCTGCTTTATTAGAATCTTGAAAAGTTTTCATCTTGGAGAGTTCAGATCCCAAGTCTTTAATTCTGAGTTCCATCTGACTTCTTATGGAAGCAATATGCTCCTCTTGGAACTGCTGTAAATTTTCTTCAGATGCTGCTTGTATCCCTCCGGCCGCTCCTCGCCGGCCCGGCTCACCGCTCACCCGCCGCCCTCGCCCCACTGCGCCAGGCCGGGTTCCCCGCTCTCACAGCCCCCGACGCCGGCACGCAGAGGCCCGATCTTAAAACCTGACCAAGTCTTCCTTCTTTGTCTTGCATAACAAGCCTCAATTCTGTCTTCAGCCTCCCAGATCTGACTGCCCCTGCACTCACTGTTCTTCTCTTGCTTTTTTCTAACAACTGGCAAGCAAGAGATGTTTTTCTGGTTAAAACCAACAAACAAAGCATTTTGAGGAAAAATTTACTCATCATCCTGTAGCCCATTAATAACTACTATGTTTTGACATAATTGTTTGAATGTTATGGCATGGTAATTGTTTTTGCCTCAATTGTACGTCATTTTGAAGCTGAAAAACAACTAGCCTTTCTTCCCCAACCTGCTTCAGTGTGACACCACCGAAATGTCTGAGCTCACTTAGGTTGCCAAGAAGAGGCAAGGGTGTGTAGTTTGCTTTTTCTGTTCTACAGGCTGGCCTTCAGCTCTGAACAATGTAGCATGTAACACTGGCTTCTTAATGTGGGACACATGAAAAGGCTTTGCAAGGGGCTTTGATAACATGGAAGAATTACCATGTGGTGTTAAGTAACAGGTGTATTTGTGGTCACTCAATCTCACACTTCAGTTACAAGATAACCAGTGAAGAAGTTCCTATAATTCAAAGACACGGATGCCTCTGAACAGAAAAAAAGCTTTCATATTTAAAGAAACAAAAATCTATGAATTTATGGTTTAAGATTATATATTCACAGTGAATTTCAAATAGAAGGGCTTTTTAAATTGTTATTTTTCCTTAAGGACTGCAACGCATACAAACATACAAATACTTGTTTTTAAATAAAAGTTATTGATGTGTAAATTCTGTTGGACTATCATCTTTTGCTGTTCAAGTTGTAAGTTATCCCTTTCCCACCCCCACTTGCATTCTGAGCTGGATGTGAAACAATGGACTGGTTCAAAATTGGGAAAGGAGTACCTCAAGGCTGTATGTTGTCACTCTGCTTATTTAACTTATATGCAGAGTACATCATGCGAAATGCTGGGCCGGATGAAACACAAGCTGGAAGCAAGACTGCTGGGAAAAATATCAATAACCTCAGATATGCAGATAACACCACCCTTATGGCAGAAAGTGAAGAGGAACTAAAAAGCCTCTTGATGAAGGTGAAAGAGGAGAGTGAAAAAGTTGGCTTAAAACCCAGTGTTCAAAAAACTTAAGATCATGGCATCTGGTCCCATCACTTCATGGCAAATAGATGGTGAAAAAATGGAACAGTGACAGACTTTCTTTTCTTGGGCTCCAAAATCATTGTGGACAGTGATTCCCGCCATGAAATTAAAAGACATTTGCTCCTTGGAAGAAAAACTATGACAAATCTAGACAGCATATTAAAAAGCGAAGACATCACTTTGCTGTCCAAGGTCCTCATATAGTCAAAGCTATGGTTTTTCCAGTAATCACGTACGGATGTGAGAGTTGGACCATAAAGAAATGGTAGTACTGGAGAAGACTCTTGAGAGTCCGTTGGACAGCAAGGAGATCAAACCAGTTAATCCTAAAGAAATCAACCCTGAATATTCATTGTTAAGAACTGATGCTGAAACTCCAATACTTTGGCTACCTGATAGGAAGAGCCAACTCAAAGGAAAAGACCTTGATGCTGGGAAAGATTGAGGGCAGCAGGAGAAGGGGATGACAGGATGAGATGGTTGGATGGCTTCATTGACTCAATGGACATGAGTTTGAGCAAACTCTGGGAGACAGAGAAGGACAGGGAAGCCTGGCATGCTGTGGTCAATGGGGTCACAAAGTTGGACATGACTTAGCAGATGAACAATTCTCATTTCAAGTATAGAAGCTCTTTTGTGAATAAAGTTTTTAAATTATTTTTTATTTCTAAGGAAAATTGTTTTAAGTGCCAGCCTGACTGTCCCCTAACTATACCCACCAGACATGATACAAGTAGTAGCTCTGAACCTCTGCTCGAGTGTACAGTAAGCTAAAAGTGTAAGCGTAAACCAGCATATCCCCATTTCATGTAGCACAAATGATTCCCAGAGATGTCATAAAACAAAGATATGAAAGATAGTAAACTAATTTTATGTCTGTTTTACATATACTGTTACCTCACAGCATTCTCCCATTATTTCCATTGTAATTTAAAAGAATATTTTGGTTTCAGGGAATAACTATCATGTTTGGTGATTTTTATAAAGAAATATTGATAAAGGTCATAATGAAACTGACTGCATCCCATTTTCTCCCGAAGGCCTACAGTAAATTCAAGTTTCCTTCAATAAAATACTGACTAGCTAGGTGGTAGTATTGTGGTTCTTCAGGATCTGGCACATATTCATTATGAGAGCTGAACCAGATAATTATCAGACAAGCCTATAGAAATCCTGCCTTTTGGCAACTGGCATGTCCTGTTAGATTTCAAACTGAATTTCAAAGCACCGTGATAAAAGAACAGAAAAACAAAATTAACAATACAGCATCAGGACAGAACGTATAAACTGATCCTACAAGCCCACCCCACAAAAACAAAAGCTTTGAACCCTAAAATTAAAAAGACTAAAGATGTTTATTTGTTTTATAATGAACATTCCAAAGGCACATATATAAAATGTATGTTTACTCAGAATTTAAACAGCTTAGTTCAATTATTCTGTCTTCTCTCTTACATTCCATCAGTCACTACTGAGAAGTACAAAAACTACTTCTGAAGCCAGTAACATAGGCTTAGGCTTTCAACTAATATTCAGGGCAGAAACAGGCCAGCTATGCTAGAAGGAGAACTATAACCATTTACTTCCTAGTGAGCCTCCCTCTAGGACTCTGTGGCGTGAGCTCCATGATCCTGCTTTTGGGAAGGGAGAGGAGCGGGACATGCATCACAACAGACTGCCTGTGCTCTGAAACCCTAGAGGACAAACATGTGCTCTTAGGATGGATGACCTGTGCCGGGACAGCAGAGACCCAGTCATCCTCAGTGGACAGGAGGCACTGAAGAAGAGCCCCCAGGCCTAAGGAAAACCCTGCATCACCGAAACGACTGTGTATCTGCTGCTGCAAATTAGTGTCCTAGATGAGAAGTTTAAATTTTATAAAATAGAAAGTTAAGGTAAAATACGCCATCAGCATATACTCAAAAGAGCTTCTTTGGATTAAACTGTCATTAAGACAGTTGGGATATTTGGTTTGACTTAACATTATTCAAAGCAATGTCCCATTTAAAAATCACCCTGCAATTAGAAATAACAGCAACTATCATGGCATTTATTAGTTGTCAGAAAGCTTCACAATCAGTTTCATGATCAGAAAATAAAGCAAGATTTCAGTTTGTTTTCTCTGCAAAATTGGTGAGTTTCTGAAACATAAAGGATCATTTGCTTTCTAAAATGGTCAGTGTTGCCACATGGTGTTCCCAAGATCTGACCTCAAAAGTTTCTCAAATTTTACCATCCACAGTTGTAACTCAGGCGCATCTGTTGTTTTCCATCTAAAGCTGGAAAAAATTGAGATTTAATTAGTTTCTGCTTTACTCTTAAAATAAAAATTGCAAAATTAAACAGTATTTTCTTTTGCATTTTCACTTACAATAATTTTTAAAAATATGAGTTTAAGACAGAGAAATCATCTCACCTTCTTCAACAGTTTATAGCAAAGTGAGAGAAGCTGAACCAAAACAGCCATCATGGACCTTGCCTTTGTAATACACTTATCAACCTATAATGACAGAAAGCAAGCAGATCAAATTCTTACCAGGGGGCCTTCAAAAGACTATCACTTAAAATTTCACCATTATAGAAATCTAAGGGATCTCAAAGGGTATATAGATTAAGGCATCTGAACTGACTTGAATTGAGGCCCCAGAACACAGAAGCTGCAATTGCTGCTGAAGTCTTGTGCCAATTTCATGGAACCTCAGGAAGAATGAATGGAAAATCAGCCTGCTCTATTTCAGACCATTTGGGGATTTCTCAGTGTGCACCAAACAGTGGCAGTGAACCCCTAAGTTGCAATCCCTTGCACTCTACTTTGCTGCACACAAACTTCCTAAGATAAACAATAGAGGCCTTTCTCTCTAAAGGGTCTGTGCCCTAGACAGGTGATGATGGTGAGATTTAGGAGCAGCTGCTCAGTGCTATTGGAGAAAGCAGTGGCACCCCGACTCTTGCCTGGAAAATCCCATGGGCAGAGGAGCCTGGTAGGCTGCAGTCCATGGGGTCCCTAAGAGTCGGACATGACTGAGCGTCTTCACTTTCACTTTTCACTTTCATGCATTGGAAAAGGAAATGGCAACCCACTCCAGTGTTCTTGCCTGGAGAATCCCAGGGACGGGGGAGCCTGGTGGGCTGCTGTCTATGGGGTCGCCCAAAGTCAGACACGACTGATGTGACTTAGCAGCTTAGCAGCAGCAGCTCAGCACTATGGCATTAATCATGTCCAAAAAGCTAATTTATCTGGTGAACCTACTGCTCCCTGAGGTCAGTTATAACTGTAGATGATAAATGCTTCTTGCAGTTGAGGCAGGAAAAATGGAAATAAATTGTACTTTGGGTATTAACACTTTATTTGAAGAAAGAGGCTGGAAGCTAACCTAATTTAAAAAGAGTGTGAAAGTTCAAGTACCTTCCTGCATATCCCACTGTCCCTTTTACCTTTAGAAACACTTGATTCTGCAAAGGTGTCTTAATTATTGTCTGGAGTTGGTGGCAGAGAGGAACAAACTTGTTTATTTCCAGGAGAAGCATAAGTTTGTCATCATCTTTCAGCTGAAATGTAAATATGGCAGTTGTAACAATTCCAATGAAACTCCATCTTTTAAACATCAAATACCTTTATACCTTAATAATACACTCTCAAAATGAGTATTTACGACATCACTGCAGGACCAGGCACGGGGATATGTGAATTACCTGTTTTGAGAAAGCCTGTACACTCGACGCAAGCTTCAAACCCTCTTCAGCAAAAACCTGGTAGAAAGGAAAAACGTCACTACTTTAGGTGCATATCTTCTAGGTAGTTGGTAACAAGTACACTCGTAGGTAATTTTCATATGGAATTTTAAGACTAAAACCAAAACATTAAACACCTGTCATGGAACTCCTAAGGTTTCTGCTGTACCCAGGAAAACACAAGAGTTCAACTCTATCCACAAGCAGATTTCCCAGCCCTGATGCAAACTTATCCCTGCAGAAGCTCCTCTCCATGTGGCCACCTCCAGTTACCATGGAGGATCACGCGATACTTGGAAAAATTATGTCTGGGTTTCTAGATGGATCTGAAGTTCATCCCATAATATCCCCAATTATAAAAGGTGATGAATCTTGGAACATGAGGTCAAAAGCATTAGAACATTGGTTTCTGCTTCTGGCTTAGCAAGAGAGAATCTGTCACCCATACATGTTCTTCAACCACCCATCTAAGGGGACCAATTCAGATTAATTTTTCACTATTGACCACACATTTTACAATTTATTAGTAAGGAGAATAGGATGATAGGAAAGAATGCTGGAAAATACTTCAGAATATTCTGGATGATTATTTTTAAATGGTACATAGACTCTTTTAGAGTGAGATAACAGGAAAATGAAGACATGGCTTTAGGTGGCAGCAGTAAGAGTAAAAAGAACTTGGTAAATTTTGAGAATGATCTTTGAAAAAAAATAATAGATCTTGATAATAAATTAAGATAAAGCATATGAAGAAGGAGAAAATCATTTCAGGGTTAACTTTAACCCTCTTTCCAACAGCCTTGCTGTCATAGGATAAGCTGATCTCAGGGTCAAATAGCCCTTTACATCCTTCGTTAGCCTTTAAAAGGGAAGCCAATGTGTTTCACACCAACCTTCTAACCTAATGGAATGACTCACTTAACCCACATGTTCCTCCTCATCTTTCCACATTACCACTTTCTCTTGTACAACGTCTGCTCTTCCCTACTAGCCTTCAAACCCCTAGGAGCAGGATCCCTGTCTCACAGAGTATCATGGTCTCAAAACCACCTGAAAGCTGATGACTCCCAAGTCTCTCTCCCCATTCTTGAGCTACCCTGACATGAACTGTACATCTTATTTGAGCAAAACTAAATGCTTGATTTCCAGCCTCTAAATCCAATGTTGTCCCTCTGTTCCTTATCTCAGTAAATGGCACTACTGTTTACCCTGTTGGTCAAACCAAAAGCCTTTGAAAACAGAAGTCAGGTCATGCCACTGCAAAACCCTCGATGGGTTTTCTGTCATTCTTGGAAAAAAAAGAAAAAAAGTCAAGGCTTTCCCCAAGGCTCAGAGACATCATACGTCACCACCTTCCTTCTTGTTCACGCCATTCCACCCACGCAGGACACCTGCACTTCCTATACCTCAGGGCCTTTGTACTTGCTCTGTCTGCCTAAAATATTCTACCCCCAAGATATCCATCTAGCTCACTCTCTAAACACTCTGCTCAAATGTTACCTCTTTAAAGAGGTCTTTTCTGACCACTCCTCTACCACTTATACGTTTTTATCTCTAAGTATTTATATATGGGGATTATATATGCTTAATTGTATATTGTCTATCTGCTCCCGCTAGAATGTAAGCTCCATGGGGAGAGGAAGGGGCTTCCTTTTGTTCACTTTTCTCCACAGAGCTCTTAACCCCAGGATCTGACACACCAGTACAAATTCAATGACTATTTGATAAACATTTTATATAGACACTTCAGCAGATGTTGATTTAATAAGTTAGTTTAATAAATAAGCTAACACAGGAAGAAGGTGAGTAGTGGATATTTTGCAGTGAAATACTCCCTATGATGTGGTCTGCCTTGGAGTGGATATGGGTCAAACTGAACAAAATGAATCCAGAATTTACTCCAACTTTTTAAACAGAGAAATAGCTCACTTAAAGTCAGTTTTACAGGAAATTCCAAATGAAATATCCTCTGTAGTTCTTCTGACTCTGTTGGCCAACATCCTCTCAAACTGAAATCCCTTTCCTGAAGAGGCTTAGGTGAAAGCACATGGGAATGCCAAAGGAAACTATCCAAAGGTGATAAAGTGATAGAAATTTCAAATTTCAAATGCAAGAATGCCCTTGGTTCTGGAGAGGCAAACAGACTAACATGAGAGTCAGGGGAAATAAGAAAGGCATCTTGTAATCTCACCCATCTAAGCCTCTAAATAAGGGAGGAGGATTAGGGTTAGGCTTGTGTGACATTTCATAAGACACACAGTGCAGAAGGGTAGGTGTCAGTGTATCTGTCTCTCCCTGAACGCCCTAAATCATCAGGACGACAGAAGAAGGAAACTAACATGTACCGAGAACCTGTAATGGTCTCAAGTCTGTGACAGATGCTTTCTTACGTGTTTCCTCATTTAATCAATACCATTCATCCAGTTCAGTAATGAAGACATAAAAAAGTTTTCCTAGTCTTCACGACAATATAAGAGATAGGCATCTGCTAACAGGATATTTTTACCTACTTGGGAAAACCTAAAACTTAATATTCCATCTAGTGACTATCAAAGCCCATTCTACTTTATTCCTATTTTTTTTTCCAAAAAGATAACCATTTTTTAGATTTAGCTCTAAAATATGCTCTGCAAACCCTTGAATTTTCTATCACTCTTGTACTGTACATGTGTGCTGTATATACAGGTAAACACACTAGTATGATACAGTAAATCATTTAGAAAACCATCTGTTACAAACTTTTAATCCAGAATTAAAGTATTATCATAAAATGGAAATTAAACATACCTCTAGTTGATGAATTAAATCCTGGTAAGTTTTTAGCGGCCCCTCTCCCCTGAAATAAAATAATTATTAAGGACGTAAGAAAAAGTTATTGCCTAGAAATTGATTTTATATTCAAGTTTTAGAGCATCCTGTGTATTTACAGATCCAAAATTTTGAATAATAATATTGAAGAGACGAGTAATATTGTCACTCTTCTTAAAGCAGCTTTAATATTTAACTCTTACCTCTTAAGGCACTTTTAAAAACTGGTAAACATTATATATGTTTATAATGTAAAGAAAATTAAAACTGACATATTTAAGTTTTATTTTTCTTTTTTAACTTTCTTCATTTTGCTTCATAAACTCAAGATATGAGATCTGAAAATAAAAGGCCTTTGTTCCATAATGGATAAAAGATGAGACCAAAAATCAGGAAATTCTCATTTTTGATTCTAATTTCAACTACGGCAAGAATTTAGGTGATTTTGATGAGGCACATCAGTAAAGTTTCAATTCTGAGTCTATAAAATAAGTTAAACAATATTTGTGCTACCACCCTCATCAAGAAGATTAAGGAATATCACATTGAAAACTACCAAGAAGAATTAAGAACTTCACAAGTGAAACGTAAATTATAACAAAGAGCAACAGAATACATTAAGAAGAGCAGCAGCCTAGACATGAAACAGAAGATCTGAGATCTAGTAGGAACTGGTTTGGCTCTTAATAGCTACTAGTTATGAACACAATATTCTTTTACTCTGATAAACTGTTGTAAAGACAAATGAAATTATGAAGCAGAAACCACTTTAAAAACTATATGACACTGGAGTAAAGTAATTAGCCTCCAACTAATAAAAATAAATGAAAAAAAAAAAATAAAAAAATAAAAACTATATGACACTGGAATATGTGGAATCTTTAAAAAGTAAAATGCATTAGAAAATCTAAAATACATAAATTATAATGAAATACAAATAACTGTAAATAAATGACAAAGAAACTATATAAATCGTTAAGACAACCTGAAATAATAGCCTTAAGAAAAACTATAAAACTGCCCAGGAAAATTACAAAACTGGTACTACGAAGACTAACAGATGAGTTTCAGAAAAAAGCAACTAGATGAGGCTGGTAAGCCATTGTCTTAAGGGAAAACAGAAAAACTATTTGGGGGAGAAACAGGTATACTGACAAGGTGGGTAGAAAACAAAGCCAGCTTGAGAGTTTATGACAATTATATTACCGAGACTTGCAAGAACGACACAAGGTATTATCCATTACAGAAAATCCACTTTATTTTCCTGAACGTCAGTGGCTCCTGTTATGGTTATTAACCATACCCCAGGAACAAGTCCCCTCCACAGAGTTAGTTATCTCTTCTCTTCACAATACAGCCTTTCATGCTTCCTAGTCTCTGGGCTGCATGTAATCCCTTGCCAAGATCCACTATTCTGACTCAGAAACAAAAACTTCTGACCATATAATCCTGAAATATCCTGAGATAAGAAACAAGAAATAAAAGGGGCAGTTGCAAACTTAAAAAAAAAAAATCTACTGATGAATTCTTTATTTGGGAAGATTTTATATACCAAGGGTTTCCCTGGTGGCTCAGATGGTAAAGAATCTGCCTGCAATGCAGGAGACCCAGGTTCAATCCTTGGGTCAGGAATATCCCCTGGAGAAGGGAATGGCAACCCACTCCAGTATTACTGCCTGGAGAATTCCATGGACAGAGGAGCCTAGTGGGCTACAGACTAGGGAGGGTCACAAGAAGTTGGACATGACTGAGCAGCTAACATTTTCACTTTATATACTAAACTACACTGGATAAGTAAAAATTTATTTCTTCAGTTCTTAGCAGTCAAAAAATTTTTTAATCTGATTTTTATCACCATGAGATAACTAGCATGATTCCAGCACAAAGTAAAGATGTCTGTTTCTTCAGTTAATCTTCACATTTCAGTTAACCACACACTGAGTGCAGGGAAACAAATTCTATTTTACTTTCTTTTGCACACTTGACTCATCGGATTTTTAAGTGATGTGAACTAAGAAAGGAGGTCAAAACTAGTTTGAGAAAATTCAATTCTGGGAGAAGGTTGCTAAGAATTAAGAACAAAGGAAGAAAACCACTGAAGTGGGGGACAAAAAGGTCTCCAATGATGGAAAATATGGAAAGATATTAACAAATGACTGCTGACCAGAGGCAAAATTATTAAACTCCTATCATTTCTCTTGAAAAGGTAGAAGACATCAGTAAGAGAAGAAGGAATGTTTCTTCCTCATTCCTAACCTTCCTTCCATATGAAGAAATCCTCACTAGCACAGCATCCCAAACTTCTCCCTGCTCCCTCACTTATCTCACCCCTCAGAAGAGGGTGGACATTTATTGATTTTTATTTTCAGTCTTTTTGGTGACTTTGCAAAAATAAATTGGACATGGTAGCCCTTTCATTTTTCCTTTTTCTCTTGGTACTAAAGGTACCCTTGGAATATATCTGGTCTTTCAAGTGTTTTAAGAGATACATTCTGCCCCTATGGGGTAAGATTTCTTAATTCTAGGTATTATTTTTAAAAACCTGTTTGCCTATGGCTATAAACTACATTACTCAGTATCAGCTTTATCAATACAAATGCCACTGCCTATTCTTTTGCTTATTTTTCAGTTAGTTTAGAATTTGGGTGAAGAAAAAGGGGCTCTTTATTGAGCCCCAAAGCCCACACAGTGGTAGAGATCCCAATTAGTTTAGCTGAGCCTCAGACTTGAGATCAAATGGATTACATTCCAGAATACTGAAACAACCGGCAGGTGTGACCCACTGCTGGTTATAATTTCAAAATCAAAATGAGCAGAAGAGAAGCCACAACACTGAAGATATCAAGTATTCTCCAGTATTGAAAAATGAGTAAGATACATACCAGAAAATGAGTGAAAAGTCTGAGGTCATTTCTTGAGAAAATTCGAACAGGTTATTGAGTGCATAACTGATTAAAGTTTTAACTACACTGAGATACTATGCCATATGTATAATCTTCCACTGTTATAAGACAAGACAGAGAATGTAGCTCAGATAAATGTAAAGTTAGGGAAACTCTCTGCTGCATAATGAATGCTGATCCATGGAGGTGTGGCACCGACTGACATGGCAGATCTCATGGCTCTGTTCTTCGATCTGTGTATGAGCAGTCACGTGTAAAGATTTCAAAGGCATGTCGTTTAAACTTACTGATGCAGGCTGGGGTAGACACAGATATGTAGGATGAAGAGAAAGCAGGAAGCAAAATTATTTCAGAACTATGGAAGGAATGGGACAAAAACCTAGAAGAGGATCTCATCTAAGTCTAAATCCTCGTTAAATGAATGTCTTCTTGCTGTGTTCACTGAACTGTCATAAGAACTACTACTTATATAGTCTTTTTACATATATTTGAAACCAATTTTAACCCATCAATGACATAACATGGCACTTTTTCTTTATATCAGATATCATTAAATTCATTTTAAAAGGTAATGTAACTACATTTACCTAGTAAATAAATACAGAGAATAGGCCATACTGGACATGTTCCTTCCATACAGAACCATCTCATTCTCCTGATCCTCCCACTTCTCAATCTCGCAGTTGGCATCAGAAGTGAGCAAACCCAGTTTGAGTCCAAGCTTTGCTATCTTGGCTTGCTCCTACAAAACATACATTTTAATCACAACGATGTAATCATTAACTATGTAAAAGACTGGAAGTAAGACTATTGCAAAAGAGATCTTACCTCAGAGTCAGGCTTGTCTGCCTTTAATGATCTCAGGTTTGCACTATTCTTCTGTGACAATAAAAAGATTAGAGCATCTTAAAAATCGGTACAGATAATTGTAAAGACATACAATAGTAACGGAAAGCATAACAAAGTACATTAACAAAATTTTAATTAAAATTTTTTCAGTACATACTTAAACTATATTAAACTGTTTAAGTAAAAACAATTATGGCTGACCCTTGGAAGACTCTTGAGAGTCCCTTGGACTGCAAGGAGATCCAACCAGTCCATCCTAAAGGAGGTCAGTCCTGGATGTTCATTGGAAGGACTGATGTTGAAGCTAAAACTCCAACACTTTGGCCACCTCATGCAAAGAGCTGACTCATTGGAAAAGACCCTGATGCTGGGAAAGATTGAGGGCAGGAGGAGAAGGGGACGACAGAGGATGAGATGGTTGGATGGTATCATCGACTCGATGGACATGGGTTTGGGTGAACTCCGGGAATTGGTGATGGACAGGGAGGCCTGGCATGCTGCGGTTCATGGGGTCGCAAAGAGCTGGACACGACTGAACAACTGAACTGAACAACGTGAGGATTAAGGGCGCTGACCCTCACCTTAGCCAAAAACCTCTGTATAACTTAAAAAGAGTCCACCCTCCATATCCATAGCTCCTCCATATCTATGGTTTTGCATCTGTGGATTCAACCAGCCTCAGATGGTGTAGCACTGTAGTATGCACGATTGAAAATATTCACTAATAAGTGGACCTCAAACTTCAAATCCATGTCGTTCATGGGTCCACTGTAATGACAAATATCTGAATATGTGGGTTCAGCTTTGAACAGGTAGGTGGTTAGAAATCTGGGGCTATGGAAAGCATCTGTGTTTCAGATTCTTAAAGACTTCCGCAGTCTTCCCACAGACCAATTACTACACACCCAAACCTCCCTGGCCCCTCCACTAAATTATTCTTAAGAAATGATGTAATAAAATTAACTGCTACATGCAGCTTTCAATATCTTCCAAATGTTAGGACTCTGGAATTCATTTCCTTTAACCAGTTTGCCCTTTTGAGGGATAAATTTCAGCCTCCTGGTTTCACTTACATCCAGATTCCTAATCCTATATCCCAGGTTATATAGGTAATTATACTTAGAATTTAGGATTTACTATTTGAACCAGCATGTTTTTATGGCCCCTAGCTTTGAAAAAGCAAGTTAGTGTCTATGTAGGCTATTTAAAACTCAAGAGTATATTTCCTCTTGGGCAGAAGAAAACATTGTACACCAGTTTGTTTACCAGGCTGGCCCACAGATGATTGCTTACTTGTAAAAACCACTACCTAAAGCAATGAAAAATATATTGAGAAGTTCTCTGGAGATGGCAGCCCGAGTTGGGTATTCCCTGAATTCTGAGATCTGGTGGGAACTCCCCGAGCTGGGGCAGTAGTTCCAGAACAGCTGGGCCAGTAGAGATAAAGGGGCCAGGAGGCCAGGGAGCCACTTACTGTTTAAAGAAACCATTTATTCAAATCACATACACACACCTCCCAGAGTGTGTATTCATACACATGGACACAAAGTGCAAATCATGATAAAACATGCGCGTTTCTGCTTAGCTTAAGAAGGTAACTCTGAAGTATATGTGTACTTCTCCATTTTTGGTTTCCTTATCATCACCATGATTTACTACTTCTGACCAGCTATTCTGTCACCAGTTTAACTGCAGAACAGAACAATTGCAGCTTTTTCCTTTTTTTCTATCCCACAGTTTATATTTGTTGTGTACCATAAAAGAAATGGGAAGAGGTAAAGGACAGAAGATAAATTCAGGGAATCTATAAAGTTACACACACACACACACACACACACACACACTCACATATACTGCCTCTTGGGTTCATTAGAAAATAAGCAGAGATGACCAATGATTTCTTTGGTTCCATGTATAATTACATCCTCTGTATTTTCTTCTTTAGTCTAGTAGACTATAAAGCAATTGATAAAAGTATTTAAGAAAGTTAAGAATACCCTAGAGGTTTTTAGGTTTTATTTTATTTGGAATTTTACATTCCACCTTTATTCTTTTCAATTTGGTTGTGTTTTCATTGTTTTTATTTTTAGTTTTACAAATTATTATTATTAAAGTGTTTAAGACTGAAAGGGAATTGCCTGAAAAGGTACAGAAACCATCCTAATAATATAACCAAGCTTGCCATCTAGTGGGCACTATTTTATAATGCAGTCAGATGCATCAGTTTTAGTTGGATAAAGCTAAAAAAACACTTCATGTGTCTAAAGACAAACAAAATGGCTTATTTTAATCAAGGTAGAAAGCATTCAGAAAGTTCTTAGTCTGCATAAAATGATTCCAACATGACCTTATGAATTAGACCCAAGCTATTAAAAACAAAAAACCCTTGACTTCAGATTACGGCTTCTTATTAACCATAAAATCCATTACCTATTCCTTCAACCCCCAAACCAAACATAAATAACCAGACTATGGGCTACATCTAGATTGCTACTCAGAATAACAATTCTGAATAGTCCACATTTAATATCCTCACTTTTTTTTGGTAATGTCAGTTATTAGAGGTTGCGGGGATGAGCAATAGGCAATAAGAACATAATTTGAATTCTGAATAAAAATATTCTCAAGTGGACAAAGGCCTTCTACTTACCACTGGCTTTGGAAGTGAAAGGTAGCCATACTTCTCTCCTGCAAATAACATAATATAACTTAAAACAAATTTCCCACTACTCACATTTAATTTTTAAAATATTATTAAATAAACAAATGTTAGTACATTAGTTTTGATAATTTAGTCTAGTAATTACATATGGCTGAGGAAAGTAAGATTGTAATTTGTTTTGTGAACATGAAAAAAATGTATTTGGCACAGATTTTGATTTATAAAATTGTTTCTGAAGCACTATCTTCACAATTTATGTTTAATACCCCCTACATCAAGATGACATTTTTGCCATCCTTACTTCTGAGTTTACACCTCTAGATAAATTAAGTCCAGAATTAAGTTCCAAAGGCCCTCTCATCTTATGAGGATGCAAAATGATTTCTCATGGCAACCTAATTGAGGTCCACTTTCAATATCCAGAGCTTTTCTGCATCTCCAAAACAAAGTTAACCACCCAAGGACAGGAAAGCCTCATTATTTCACTGAAGATATGCTCTAATATTCTGTATTAGAAGTTCTTATAGTTAGTTTGGGTCCTGAAATGGACTTTACATGGCATGATCAATCAGAAAAAAAAATTCATGTTCTCAGTGGTAGGACTTGGGTATTACAGAATTTGGATTAGATCAAGCCCAGCTGTTATCCTCAATCTGTCTCTTACCTCTACACTCATCAAATCCTACCAATACTACTTGTCAAATTCTTCTTACATCAGTCCTCTTATCTTCATTTCTACTATTAACATCATGGCCCCATTATCTTTTGTCTGGCGGGATCACTCCCTTACCCAACTCACACACCTCCCATGTAAGTTCATATTCATCCGTAAGCATGCCCCTCTTCCTATTCACCCCATTTCAGTGAACAGCATCTCATACATCCAGTCTGCCAAGTGACAGAATAAGTGCAGAGCCATGGAACCTGGTACATCCCTATAAACTACAGGCTAGTAAGATTAACTTCAAGATGGTTCAAAAAGAACAAAGGAAATTCAGCTTCCTTAAATAAGGGACAGAATCTGCAGGCTATGAGAGAAAGCAAGAATTTGACATTTATTTGTCTAAAATAATCTCAAATTCTAAATGTTGATACACACTCATCTCTAAGGAAAGGTGGAGTCTTTTTGATCTGGTCCCTTCTAACATAAAGGGGGATCATGGCCTCCCTAAAGGCAGAATTGGATGAAGGCAGAGAGGCAGGAAGACAAAGATTGATTTATGAATTCTTGACACAATCCCAGGAGGCCCTATTATGAAATCTAAAGGTCTCTTGGTAAGGGGACAACCACCTAGCTCTCAGACTGACTTCAGATATGCAAACACTATAAAGGCTCTTTTTCACTGCTTAGCATGTTGTTTGCCACTTAATTGGTTGGCTAACTGATACTTGCAAATATATGTGATTAGTTTCCCAATCAGGGGAGTCGAAATTTGCAGAGCAAAACTAAAGTGGCTAAAATAGAGTGGAGGCTTTCCAATCATAGTTATGAGTTATAACAGTAGCAAAGAGAAACCAGAATCTGAAGGACCCACTCTGTCCTTCGCAGGGGGCAGGTGCGAGGTAACAGGCAGGTTCATCGAAATAACTATACAGAATAGGAAGAGCAGCATAGTCACACTGGCTCAGCTCATCAATGACAACTAACTCAGAGTTGGACTTCTTTGCAGGAAGAGCTATATTTATGAGCTTCATGATAACAGTCAGGGGGGAAAAAGTCAATGCAAGAAATTAAGCAACTCTGACTCAATTCACCCCATATAAGTAAGGATGCCTCTGAACAGCAAGATACTACCAGTTAAAGAATGGGTGTCCCATTGATCAAAGGCAGCGGTTCCCTACCTAAAGAGGAATTTCTGTTCAGTACTTAGGAAGTTAAGAAAATCCTGATCGGGGGGGACAGGTTACCCAAACCTTAAGAAAGACTGGGAATCTTCTCTTCATTTTTTGCACAAGTCTTATGGTTAAATAATCATTTTCTTTAAATATGGATCAATTGTAATCAATTTACCTTTTAGTATACAAAAGTCGCCTCGCCATAAAGACCCATTCAGCTATAAGTGCTTTATCAAAGCATCAAAATAATGTGCCATTCAGACTAGCTATCGATTTTTAAATGCAGAAGCGTGTAAGCATTTATTACATTTTACAAATCACATTATATCTACAAAGTCTACTATTCTCTGACTTTTAAATAAATCAATAATTATCCTAGATGGGTATTTTAAAAAATAGATGTTTAGATGTTCATATTCAGTAAAGATAAATATGTAATTTGATGTTATTTTGACTTTAAATGACATTTTAAACAAGCATGCTGACACTAACAGAAGCCATTAAGAAGGAAAAAAATACATAAAAACACATAAACATAAACAACTGGACACACAGTACAATGGGAAATAAAAATCCAAGTTGATAATAAACTAAAGAGTAAAAATGATGCCTCTGTACATTGTATGGTGCTATTCTACACGTTGTAGAAATACCAGTGAACTTACCCATCAAAGGAAATATTCCAAGATTATGTAGTCATCAAGGAAAGAGATTCCATCCAAGTGGAAGGAAAGCAATTTGAAAATCAAATAACTACATTCATTTCATTATGAAGTTAGTAGAATTATATCAGAGAATTACTGTACTACAGAAGAGCTTTTGTACTAAAACTAAAAAACAATTTATAAGAAATATAAAAATGACAATATCAATAAGAAAGCTAGAATGTTAATATTAATTCAAAAGAATCCCCTATACAGTTGTACAACAAATTTTACTGCTTTAATACAACATTGAAGGACAAGTAATATTTTTACTATTTTTTGTGTAAGATACTTTATTATAAAAATAATCCAGTTGGGTTATAAAAGTTATTCATTTGGCATCTGAGGTTTTTGACATTAAAAAATTAACAGTCACATTAAAATATGAATATATTTCAATATATGGACAGTTTCTCACCTCGTTTTCCTTCAAACACATCATTGATTTCTCTCAGCAGTATTGACATATCACTAATTTGGCATTCCCAGGCTTCACAGAATACATCTAGATTTTCTTTAGCAATTTTACTAGATGGATGCAATGTCAAAGTTTCAGCAGCAGAAATTATCTGAAGAAACAATACACAGGTTTAAACTTCAAAATCTTACCTCTCAGAATCATACTGGAAACCAAACTTAAAATCAACTCAGTGACACAACTATTAATACAAAGCAACTTCCACATGTATAAGTCAATACATTCCACACATTGGGCAATACAGACATACATAGTAGAATAAAACTGTTTCTTACAATCTTATCTACAGATAAATAGTAGGCATTATTATATACAAGCCTTTATTTCATGAGGAATTATCTTTATTCAAGGAAATAAATATTCCTTGAAATAAATATTCAAGGAAATAAAGTCATTTCCATAACATAATTCAGAGTTAGACAAAGCATACTGTATACTGCAGAAGAGATGGTGTAGTCGTGGTAGCAGTGATGACGGCAGTGATGATACCAGCATTATTGGTATCAGTACTGGTACTGGTCGCAGTGAAGTAGCAGTAATGGTAATAGAACTGGTGTCAGCACTGGCAGTAATGATGATGGTAATGGGAGTAGCAGTAATATATGCATGTACCTACGAGTACATGATAGATACACCCTTGAGGTACTGTGCCTGATATACATTAGTATTAATCCTTCAACACAGAAACAAAATATTAGCCTTTCAGGTAAGCATTATTCTGATTTTACAACTGGAGAAAGTGAGACTCAAAGATATCAAGTAACTTATATCTGGCTCTTCATGGGCACTGTACCCATGTTCCAGGTGTTGCGAAAACAGTTGTGAATGAAACAGATCAATGTTTCTCTCTCATGGGGCTCATATTATAACATGGGGAGACAGATGATTAAAAATTTGTAAGGAAATCATGAAATACCTTCAAAGATGATAAATGATAAGTATAAAAACAAAGGGCAAGGAAGATGGAAGGTATTAGGTAGTCCCAGTATTTTAAGCTAGGTGGTCACTGGCAAAGGTGGCATGTACATGAAGAAGCGAAAAAGGTGAGGCAATCACAAGGAAGCCTGGGCAAGGCATCTGAGGTGAGACATTTCTATATTTTCTAACAACCGCCAAGCAGGCCAGCATGCCTGGACGAACATGGGGAAAAGGAAGGTCGCCAATCATTTTGTGATGCAGAAATGCACACAGGATAGGCTTTACTCTGAGGGAGCCAGGGAGTCCCTGAAGAGCTTTCAGAAACTGATATGTAATGGAAAAGAACAGGAAAAAGAGAAAGACATAAAACTGAACCACTTTGCCGTACACTAATAACCAACGCAACATAGTAAATCAACTATACTCCAGTTAAAAAAAGGAAGCCGATATGGCCGGGGCTGCCTGCGAGAGAATTCGACCTAGGTGCTCCTCTGGGTGGGCACAGTCCCACAGGCACAGGCTTGACAAGCAGGTGGCAGCTTTATGAGGAGAACAAGGTTGCCCATCTTCAGGGAAGGTGGGTACACGGCCCGCCAGCGGACGAGAAGCTGGACAGAGCGGTGAGGGCTTCTCAACGGGGCCGCTGCACAGCACGCCGACGGTCCAGCTGTGCCTTGGGTGTGACGGGGCACTGTGGAAGAAGTATGAAACCGACACTGCCAAAGCAGAGATGGCCAGAAATAATACAGATTATCCTAGAGGTGTGCTCTAGTTTCTTAAATTACCCCTTTGAGAGATAGATAAGGCCAGGAATAAAAGCTGGGGCTAAGGGAATAGAAAAAGCCTTTCAAGTTGTAGAAATTGACAACAGCCTCTATCTATCACCTTCCTGGGAAAGAAAATAAGCTTTTCCTAATATCCCTGCTGCCACGGAAACAGTAAGCAGAGAATTACAACCACAGAGCTGGCAGAGACCGAGGACTACAAGTGCTGACTGTATATCACAGGAGATCCGGACTTTAGTTCTACTGAAGTACATTTACAGCCAAAGCAAGTAGTATGACTCCAAATGGACAAGTAAATCGGGAAACCTTGGTCTCCCCCAATAAACAGAGACTCTCTGGTTTTAACAAGATGCTCAGCAGATGGTCACTGTGGATGGTCACTCATATCGCTTCTGCTTCCGAGCCTTTGACACTGTCCTCTACATGAGAACACAAACATCCACCCAGCATGGCTGAGACAGCACATACTAAGATGCTTCTGCTGTTCTCAACTATCAATCCAGGGGCTCAACATTTGTCATCCAATAATGCAAAAAAAGGAGTAAGTCCTTTCGATGGTCATGATAAATGAAATAAGAACACTTGGTAAATTGTATGTTAGAGCTTAGACCTAGAAAAGGAGGTCTGTCCCTCAGGTTTTCCCTTAATTTGACAGAGATATTTTAAAATGGGATATCCATCTTTAAAATGCTTTAAAAAATTATAAAAACACAGTATCATTATAGAGATTTCAGAAAAAAATAACTCACAATTCTCCCTAACAAGTAGAATATTCATTTCTGCACAATCCTATGGTCATTTTCATATATATGTACATTTTATATGTAGCAGTTATAGCATATAAACAAATTTGTATCCTGCTTTTGTCACTGAACATTTTAATAAAACATCTTTTGATGCTAATTCTAGTTATTATAATTATTATTCTAATGTCATAATATACTATACTATTTGCCTAATTTAAGATTGTTATTTAAATCTTATTATAAGCAATGTTGTAACAGATGTTTTTACTTTTCTTTAATCTCCTTATGTCTTTAGGAATATTTGGGTCAAAACGTGAGTATTTTTATGGCTTGTTACATAATGATAACTTAGTTTGCAAACATGTCATAACAACCTACACTGTAAACAGCTTTTCATTTAAATAGGTACAATCTACAGCATCAGTTAAATGAGCCAATCTCTAGTTTGGCAGCTGACCAGATAATCCAGTGGAATGTTCTGACACATTATCAACACAAATTCCATTACCTTCATTTCTCTCGGTAGATTTGGCCCGTAGCTGTACAGAACTGTGTGTGTCTTCCTTGTGCACAATTTGCTATGACACTCAGATAAAACATAATATAGAAGGAACGATCTGCTCTTCATCATACCTGCTGGCCAGTCACCTGAAATGTCTCCTCTGCATGTAGACAGGTTATTTCAAGAGGTTCTGTCCCAGATACATGTCTCAACAATCGACAGGTCTACAAGAAAACATTTTTATAGTTCAGCTTTCTCCTTCTTCACAATACATAGCATCATTTTATAATTAATAAAGAAAATAAAACAGGCCTTCCCTGGCAGCTCAGTGGTAACAAATCCATCTGCCAATGCAGGAGACACGGGTTTGATCCCTGATCCGGGAAGATCCTGCATGCTGCGGAGCAACTAAGCCTGTGCATCAGAAACATTGGGCCTGTGGTCTAGAACCCGTGAGCCACAACTACTGAGCCCACGTACTGTAATTACTGAAGTCCATGCGCCCTAGAGCCTGACTCTGCAATACGAGAAGCCACGGAAATGAAAAGCTTGCACACCACAACTAGAGAAAAGCTCACGTGCAGCAATGAAAACCCAGCACAGCCAAAATACATAAATACAAATAAAATTATAAGAAAATAAAACATAAAACCTAAAAAATAATTTGTACATTAATGAGAAGATTATTATACTATACTGGTTCCAAACAGATTCTCTAGGAGCAAAACTGGAACAAATCAAGGTTGAACATATAAAACTATTGTCTCTACTTCCCACCTGAACACTGTAAGGTGGTCACAAAATGTAAGAGCCAGGAGAAATCCTGAGACTTCCCCAGTGGTCCAGTGGTAACACTCATACCACCAATGCAGAGGGCACAGGTTCAATCTCTGGTGAGGACACTAACACACCACATGCCACATGGTGCGGCCAAGAAAAAAAGAACCAGGAGGAACCCTGAAAGATTTTGTCGTGCCCACATACTTTATGTATGAAGAAATGTGGTTCAGAGAAGGACTTATCCAAGATCTCTCAGCTAAACTATGTTACCACAAGCTACACATTCTTTCTAATAATAACACTTCTGTCAATTAGCACACCTTTTATGGGAAAGAACCCTGGACTAGGCAGACTGATATAATGAATAGAGTCTGTATCAGCAAAAATTATTGAAAATCTTGAGGCTTAACAGTCTGAACTGACCTGATCCAGTCTATTTCTGTCTGAACTGGTGTATTCCAGTTTAGACCAGTCTATGCTGGTCTAGACCAATCTGATCCAGTCTGAATCAGTGTATTCTGGTCTAAACCAGTCTGGACTGGTCTACCCCAGTCTTCATTTAAAATCTGTAGTATTCTGATCTGATCAAAATAAAATTTCAGAAAAGACCACTTTTAATAATTAAATTAAAATTTCAATCATCCTCAAATTAGTTCCTCATGCATTTAAAATGCCTTCACTAATAAAAAGAAGACTGAATTTGTAAATTACAAGCTTCCCTGATTTAATCTCAATTATTGTAGAAAGAAATAGCACAACCAATATGACTCATTAATATATTAAGCAATGCAAAAACTAGTTACGGTAGTTGCACAACTTTGTAATTTTTAAAAACACCCTTGGTGTTATTCAGTTTTTCTCAGTGAAATCCATTTGTATTGTTTATTCTTTAATTTGATCTTCATTGCCTGCCTTGCAATAGAACATGTGTTTGCAATTGTACTTAGCAAAATTCATGATCTTAACATTGTACACTAAAGTCAAAGTGCCTTCCTGGCACAAAACAGCCAGTATGCAGTTTTCTAATGTTTGGGGTTTCTGTCTCAATTGACAATATTGAAAAACATGTATTAGCCAAGCAAAACCACTATCTCAAAACCATGTTGAAAATTACTCCAACCTGTCAAAGCCAATTGAAATTCTCTTCCCAGTCCAATTACCAGGATCATTTTGTATGTGAAATAGGCAAAGTGGAATTTGATTACAACCATATGCAGAAGGAATCAAGAAATCATATATTTGTTGTTGTTGTTCAGTCGCTCAGTTGTATCTGACTCCTTGCGGCTCCATGGACTGCAGCATGCCAGGCTTCTCTGTCCTTCACCATCTCCCAGAGTCTGCTCGAACTCATGTCCATTGAGTCAGTGATGCTATCCAAAACATATCTCATCCTCTGTCGTCCCCTTCTCCCCCTGCCTTCATCCTTTCCCAGCATCAGGGTCTTTTCCAATAAGTTGGCTCTTCACATCAGGTGGCCAAAGGATTGGAGCTTCAGCTTCAGCATCAGTCCTTTCAATGAATATTCAGGGTTGATTTCCTTTAGGATTGACTGGTTTGAGCTCCTTGCTGTCTAAGGGACTCTCAAGAGTATAGTCAATACTATAGATGATTTTCCTTTCAAAGAATTTGTCTTTCTTTTTCCATCATTTATCCCACCTCACCTGTTCTGAATAAGTCACTCATTAATACATGAGCAGTTTAATCAGAGTTATGTAACACATTTTAAAAATCCTTCTCATTCTCACCATATCATTCTCACCTTGGAGACAGAGCAATACTAATGGAAGAAATCTAATTCTGTCCCTCGTGCAGATCCAGCAACTTGGCATTTTGCTCAAAGTCAGTCTATTTTCTATGATTTATGTATATGTGCCAACTACAGCAGTCTTCTAACTATGGTGCCCTGTGGTTGTTAATCCAGTTCTGACAAAAGGGCATGATTCCATCCTTGAAGTTCACTATAGAAGTAAATTCCCTTCTTTAAGAAAAAAGTCAATTTTATTCCACACCGGAATTCAGAAGGACTATAACAAGGTTATACACAAGATGAGAAACATGACTATAATATTACCCCGACCCACTACTGATGTCAAGCACTACAAACTGCTTCAAAGTTAGACCCATAAAATTCCTGGCAAAACTTGAGAGAACAAAAACAAAGGAACGGCACTGGGGGAAATAAAGGCAGGTTGTTTGGAATAAACAATATGATTTCCACGTATAAAATCACCCCAGAGTCCAGTGCATTTAACGTTTATGAGCATTATCTAAGAGACAGAGGGAATGAGATGGTTGGATGGCGTCACCAACTCAATGGACATGAGTTTGAGCAAACTCCAGGAGATAGTGGAGGACAGGATAGCCTGATGTGCTGCAGTCCATGAGGTTGCAAAGAGTTGGACACAACTTAGCAAGTTTTACAGCATGTTCGAGTTCTTCCAGAAGAAAGATGGGGCTGCCCTATAAAAGCCTATTTGTGAGGTTTGAGGAGCCTCTTTGGAAAACATTCTACCTAAGTGAAAAAGCATGAAAAGTTTAACTAGTAGTAGTAAAGAGAGAGACTGCATCAGTGTTTCTGGCTACTATATGAAGAACTAGGACTTTGCAATAAAGCAATTTAGAACTTTTTTTCTATTTGAACCCCTTACTGATAGTAGTAGCCTGTGTTTCTAGTTCTTAGAATATTTGTGTCAGTATCCAAAAATTTTTAAATCTACTTTTTTGTGATATAATTCATAGAAAACAAAATACATCCATTTTGAACTCTGGAAAAAAATAATCTTGAGGCTTAAAACAGAAAATTAGGGGAAAAAAATTTTTTTCACGTTTTAAAAAGACTTGCTGCAGGATTCCTACAATTAGCAAGTTTGCCTATGGTCATAATACTTGGTTTATAAACAAAACAGCATCAAATCTATTTTTAAAAGGAGATGTATTTACAGTGATTTTAAGAATGCTCTTAGTAACTCAAAGTGGTACTCTGTGGCAACCTAGAGGGGTGGGATGGGATGGGAGGTGAGACGGAGGTTCAGAAGGAAGGGGAATACCTATGGCTGATTCATGTTGCTGTATGGCAGAAACCAACACATTATAATAAAGCAATTATCCTTCAATCAAAAATAAATAAATAAAAGGAATGCTCCCTAGTTGTTTTCAGATGTTAACAAATAAAAAAGAAGCTAGTTTAATTCATCTGAAAGTTCCTTTTAATCATTAGTATGTGAGATTCAGTGAGCAGGGTAATATTAACAGATAACATGAAGACAGCTAGGTGGTTCACATCTGTGCATTAATGTACACGTTGGCTAGCACATACTTCATACATATATGTATGTGTGTGTGCTTGTATATGTTCTTCATATGTACATGGGCTAATATACATTTCTTTACTAGCAGATATCTGACATTCTCAGTAGGAGAAGTCTCACAGTATCAATCAATAATTGGAATTATAACAAAAGGGGCAAGTAAAGCACCAATAACACATAACAAAGATTTGGGCAGGAGAGATTCAGAGAACAAATACTGTATCGCATGTTTTCTTTGTCCTTCCATGTCCATTCTTCTTCCTTCCTTGGAGACTGACCTGTGGGGTCCACAGCTGTGTTTGGCTGTGGAAGCCCCAGCAATAGAGCAGCAGGAATGAGGAGGGTAAGGGTCTTTATTCTCACGCTCTTTCCCTGGAGGTTGCCTGGAGCTGTCTCTGTGTTTAGTCCTAAAACCATAGCTTCTCCAGGTTCTTGAAGGACTCCACACCCTTCCAATTTCCAAAACCACTCACTCCCCCTGTTAGTTTGGCCGTAAGAGCAGAATCAGCTCTCTATCACTAACCCCATTTCCTGCACTCTCATGGTTCCCCCACACCCCACCCATGCAACTGTAAACAGCTCCTTTATTAAACCCTCTTAAAATTAACCTAATTTGAATGTGTCTTTTTCCTCTTGAGACTCAAAAGATTCAAATACAAACAAGGTCATATAATGTATCTCCACTGCTCTACTCCAAGATTTAACCTCTCTGATGGAATAAGGAAGAAGTGCATTTGTACAATACTATAAGGCAGTTATCTTCCAATAAAATTTTTTTTAAAAAAGAAGTGCCCTTGTGGGTTCTAGCACTTTTTATTGTTTTTACAGGCCAAACTTGTAAGAGCAAAACAGAAAAATATGATATTTTTAAAATTCCAAAGGCAAGAGAGAAAATGCTCTTATGTGTAAGCCAAAAACTGTATTTGTGTTAATATTCCCTGATGACAGTACAGCTTTCATTAAACTAACATTTCTTTAACAAGCAACCTATTACTCACCTCAACAAGCCGCTCTTTCTGTTCAGAGAGTTTGCAGGCATATTCAGCCAAACCTTCTAAATTTCCTTCTATTCCAGTAAGTTTTAACGCTTTTAGAAGCACATGATCAGCATGGCATTTTAACAGATCTGCTCCCAGCTGAGCTGCTGTGCTATGAAGCTGCAGATGTGGGGCGGGGGACAAAGACAACAACCAACGAGGTGTGGTGATGAAAAACCTCAGGAGTACTTTAAAAACTAAAGAGCAGCAACCTCAGATCACCCCCACCTGACCTGCTGAGGGGAAAAGTATAACGTCTCCTGTGGGAACAGGAGAACTGCAAAGCCCTGGGAGCTTGCAACTTCTCCCAAGGGCAGGAAGGAGACCGACTCTCTGAGCCCCCTGGTGCTGGCAGTCACCCTGTCTGCAGGAGGTGAACTGGTCACCCCAGCAGAGTAGCCCGGACCTCTTTTCATGCTATTAGCAACCAGCTCCTTCCCGCACGGCTTCTCTCTTACCTCAACCATGCTTCTGCTACTTTTCAAGTTAGTGAAAACAGAATACTATGAAGAGAATGGTATTCTGTACATTAAGAGGAAAATCAAATGGCAGTTCATGATCATTAATGTGTTTTTAAACAGATATTTGGGAAAGTAATGTTGTGAGATACAGTCAAATATGTATTCAACCAATTTTATTAAATACCTACATCAGGACAGGCACTAGCCTAAAGGCTGGACATATGTGACAAGTAAGATGCAACATCTTCCCTCAGGGAGCTCACAGTTTATCTATATTGCCATCCAGAACTTTACGCTCTAACTCTTGGGTCACAGAAGAAATGAGGGATAAAATAATAATGAAAACCTCAAGGCTTTATTTAACTTTAGGTGGAATGGATTTTAAACATGGTTCACTATCACTGAATATTTCTGTGTACAATCAACTCCAAAATCTTTTCTTCTCATTTTGTCTTAAAAAAAAAAGTTATGACAAGTTATTTTGGGCTCACTAGAAAGAGATCATTTTTAATCTGATTTTTAATTAAGCCTATTTGTACAAAGTGATTCTTTTTTTCCTGGAAGTAATCCAATGTCAATTCAGATTACAGGGCTGTGTACAAAATTAACAATAGGGTAGTCCGCACTCATGAACTCAAGTGAGAATAATTACAGTCAGAAACAAAGACATTAAAATGCATTTTCCTTTGGGAATTAAACACATGTAAGAATTCAAAAGATTTTGTTTAACTATCAGGGCCCTAGAAAATAGCTAATGCCAACCCTTTATCTTACAGACTATGAAACAGGTCCCTAAAGACTGAGTGACTTGTTCAAGGTCACGTAAATCTTATAAATGATTCTAGAGACAACTTACAAACCCCAAGGGAAGAAAGGTGAATAAACATGACGTTCCTGCTCTGTGCAAGCTCTGTACTGAAAGCAGATATTATATACATTTATAGACATTATTTCCCTAATCCTTATACCCATTTTGGAGGTAAGGAAAATGAAGTTTATATAACGCCACTTGGTCTATCACCAAAAAATTTTACACTCTACTGATTGTCACAGTCTTAACAATAGTTTAGTTGAATAGGCTGGAAAAAAATGAGCAGGATTGTTTTAAACCACAGAAGACCATATCTTTCTAAGTTTAACAGGATGTTAAAATGAATGCTTCAACAGAAGTCAATGAAACATCACCATATAATTTATACATGAAACTCCCCCTAAACCAACTCCCTTCTTTTGAGCCCTTGACTCTCTTAAAACTATAGAATTAGAGTAACTGAGAAGGAACATTTTTGCAAGGGAGATCTGTTTGGAGCACTGGCTCCCTCACAGTGAGTTTCCCTCCAGGCACCCACACAGCAGGGGAACAAGGGGGCGGGGGGTCACAAAGTCAGGGGCTGGTCGGGGGAGGCAGCAGCAGGGCCTCTGAAGAGCACACTCGGGGATTCATGACAGAGACAGTCAGCTTTAAACACCTTCTGAGCCCAGGGCAGCTCACAAGGGCACTGGTCACTGAGAACTTTCTGCCTCTCTACATCCTGCCTTCTCTCCCAGTGCCAGCTCCTGGCAAAGATCTGGAACAGAAGCTAGATAATAGGGGATGAAGGGCCCAAAAGAGACAAGAGATCACACCTCCCCCAGAAGCCCTGGGGGTGCGGGACAGAGGAGTGGGGAACAGAGGGGAAGTCACACAACTGAATGAGTCAAAATACTGATGAATATATTGGAAAGAACATTCTCATTTTTAACTGAGATTGTGTCTTATGACGTAAAGCAGGGATTGGTGAACACTTTCTGTAGAGGGCCAGAGAGTAAACAATTAGACTTTAGAGGCCACCCAGTCACAACGACCCAACTCAAATGGGCAGAACTATGTCCCCCAAAACTTCATTTATAAAAACAGCCTGGCTGTAGTTCACAAACCCCTGACTTAAGTAAAAGTAACCATTAAACGATTAAGATTTCATTCAGGGAACAGGGATATCTTCTTAATCAAAAGAATATTTTTAAAAATCAACTTTATTAAGGTACAATTTACATATAACAAAATGTACCAAGGGTACAGTTTGATGAGTTTTAATATTTACACCCAAGTAACTACCACCATAATCAATATTTACGACATTTCCATTACCCCCAAAAGTTCTCCCAAGCCCTTCTGTAGTAAATATTCCCCCTACATATGACCCCAGGCAGTCACTGATCTGGTTTCTGTCACTGTAAATGGATTTGGCCTTTAAAAAAATTTTTTCTAAATAGAATCACACACACACACACACACACACACACACACCCTTTGTGTCTGACTTCTTTCACTCAGCGTTACAGTTAAGCAATTCATCCATATTATTACTCGTATCAGTAGTGTTCCTTCACGGCTGAATAGTATTTGGCATAGCTACATAGTTATACCAAAATTCATTTATAAATTTCCTTGTTGATGGAAATTTAGATGGTTTCCAGTTTGGGGTTGTTATAAACATTTGTGTATAATTTTTGAGGATGATGGCACCAATAAAACAATCGCTTCAAAATAACTAGGGCAAAGGAAAACTTTTAAATAACATTCTCTGGGCACAGGAACATACTAATTCTAAGGCATTTGGTACATACCGTACAACATGATAACTTGCAAAGAACTAAAAGAGGCTAGATTTCCAATTATACTTACCTCTTTCTTAAGTTCATTGAGACTGTGACTGATTTTCAATATAGTGAGTTCCAGTTCTTCAGTGATGCTTTTTGTTTTCCTGCTTTGCTAAAAAAATTTAAGAGTACATGTGAAGAGTTATCTTTTTCATCTAGCAATTCCAATTATACTCTAACTACAAATAACAATAAAATTTTAATATCATTCTGTGAACTATATGAAAAGTTTAAAAATTCACCTGTTTATGTTAAAGTGGCAAAGAGAATATTTAGTTACATTTTTCAACTCTAACTTTTAAATAGGGGAATTTTTTAAATCTATTTTTCTTTAATAAATTTACCATGGATAAAACTAATCTGTTTTATTTTCTGCATGGAATGCTCATCTCTTCATTCTTAACTTCATCAAAAATTAAAACCCTATTCAATCTTCAAATCCTTACAGAAATTTCTATTTCTCAGAAAGGACTTCTTTGATCACACAATCTAGAATAGACCCTCTTCTTACCCTCTCTAACCTTTTCTCAAAGTAATCATCTTAACTTGCAATTACATATATAGCTTTTTTTTTATTTTTTCGTTTAAAGTTTATTTTGCTCACTAGGCTTTGATAAGCTTTGTGAAGGCTGGGATCACACATATTTTGTTCACTGATGAGTGCATTATACCTGGCATAGCAAATGCAAGGTAGCAGGTATTCAATTCTTTAAATGAATAAATCCCAGCTAAATGTCAATCTCTTCATGAAGCTTCTAGATTCCTCTTGCTAAATGTAAACTCACCCTTCTCCAAACACTCTCAACATATGATCTGTCCCTTCTCTTGGGACAAAGTTTTTTGGACTTGTCTCATACCTCACATTTTCAGTATTTCCTCACATACTCACATTTTTCTACATTGCAAATTCTTGCAGTCAAAGATTTTATTTAATTCATCTTTAGATTTCTGATGCCTGGAATATAAAAGGCACTGAGCAATAACTGCTGAAAAGGGTAAATGAATGAACAATACATCTGATATGCAGAATCAGAGATCCAAGTGCTGTGAAACATGTGAAAGGTGATACCTGCAAATTTCAGTACTGATAGAACTGGACTCCCATTGCAAAGAGTGTTTCCTCACAGAAACTCTCTATATTGCATGTTGGGCTTAAAATTTAACTCTGAAGCAATCTCCACTTCAGATTAGATACCACATAGATAATTCAAGTCAAGCTGAACACAAAATACTGCTTTTATCCCTGACATTATTCTACCCGAGTTAAGTTTCCTTGTTAATGTGAGCATTTGCAATAATGTGATGCCAAGAAATCCTGAGGGAAATCACTGATTTATCCTACTCTTCATTCATAAATCCATTTCTTCACAAGGAAGCAGACTGCTGGGTCCTCAGGCACCTTCACTCTTCATCTTTACTGCCTGAGCTTATGTCCAGGATTTCCAGACTTGTATGTTGTAAATCATGTTAAATGCATTCTTGACATAGCCTAGGTCTAAGCAATAAATAAATGGTGCCAGAGACATGTGTCAGGACTCTATCTTTCAAATCTGTAATCCACCCTCTGTAAGAGACTGGATGCATACTTCCCTGTATTATACCACTGCTGTTGGTCTTTGCCACTGTTGCCCACATAACTTCCATGTCTGAAGCACATCAGCAACCTATTTACGGCTTTTTAAGTGGCTGCCCACCAATCTGAGACCAGGAATCTGTGCGAGGGTGAAAAATCTTTCGCCTGCCAGCTGGATCTACCCTTGTCTTCACTGCATCTGAACCTCAATGAGTTTCCCAAATTCTTGTGTCTGTTAATCAGGTGTCCTCAGAATTAAGAAGTGTGCACATCTGAAAGGATCCGGCTGTAAGACTCAGGTCCCAGGAACCTCTAGGTAGGGGTCCTACTACTCTGGTCTTTATTCTGAAGAAGCACTCTGGGAGGGGTTTTCCACAGGTGATTCTGGTGGACGAGAGGGGACAACAGGGTGAACTAGTGCTGGTGACTCAGAACCCAGACTGGTCAGGGTGAGAAACACAGGCTGAGAGGTGTCAAGTCCTGTGAATGCTGGACGGGGAGGATGCTCTGGTCAAGCAGGGGGCAGAGGAAGGCCGAGCTACCCTCATCCCTCTCTGGGCCACACTCACACTCCTGATGGCTGCGGTACCTGCATAACTCTCAGAACTTTAGGGCAAAGGAATCACAGAGGATTTACTTTGATGAAACAAAGTTCTTACAGCTTGAATCCACACAGAAATTAACTGCTGCAATTCCGTCCTCGCCTGAGCTGACAGTTCCAAGATGCGTTCCCTGTGCTCATGGCTGGTGTAGGCACAATCAGTGAAGTCCTCCGTGCGCTCCAAGAGGGCTTCCAACATCACTGAGAGAGTCTCTCTTGACTGAAAATAAAGGTTCTCCCGAAGAGTTTCAATATTCGTCTGAGAACAAAAAGGATATACATCCACAGGAGTCAACATTCCCACCTAACCAGATGTGCTGCACTCTCTCCCAGGGCCCAAGAAGAAGCTAGCAATTTCTTTCCTCGTCTGAAAGCTCCAGAGAAATACAACCTCCAATGAGGACTTTATTATCCACAAACCCAGGGGGCCCACGTTGCTCAAGAGCCAACAGTGGCTGTGCAGAGCTTCATTCCGACAGCTGTCAACAAAACATTTCTAAACGATCAGTGAAAGAGCGTGATCATGTAGCAACCCGTAGAGAAAAACCAACCTCCAGATAAAGGACTTGTTATCTGAGAAAATGCCAAGGCAAAGTCCTGGAGGATGTTACAGCCAAAAAACGAGCATGTGTTGAGCCCAGGGGGAAGGGTGTGGAGGGTGTGGGGTACAGAAAGGGCGGGGAAAGGCATCCGTTTTTCCTTCATCAATTCAGCAAAACTGGTCTCCCTACATTTTGTTTCATGTCCCCATCAGACCTCCCTGACCAAAACAGTCTCTACCAGGGGGCCTGGATAATCTTCTTAAATGTATACCTTCAGATATTGCCACCTCCCTCTAATTGGTTCCCCACCACCTATAAAACCAAGCCCAAGCTTGTACTGCCTAGCACAAACCCTTCCAGGGTCTTATCTTTCTGTCTTTCCAACAGTCGATCTCACCTTTCTGAGTTTCTAAACCTCCTTTCACTTCAGCCATCCTGTGCTTAGAGCTCCCTGAATGTGTGATGAACACAGGCCCACGAGGGGAACCTCTCTCTCAGCTGTCGGAGATGCGCTATGCCACTTCAACCTTAGCCCTTCAACCTTAGCCCTTGAAACATCCCATAGAAACAACCTGGGCTAAGAGGCACTGAGTGGCGATGATCAGGATTGTGGGCAAAATTCTTGTGCAGATAAAGATAACTTACACTTGCTTCACACTTAAAGGTCTTCTCACAACTATTATTTCAAATTGATCCTTATTATAAGGCCCATTTTAACAGGACCCTTGCAAATACCAAGATTTGGGAAGGGCGAGAGGCTACAGGGAAGTAATAGCTTCCTCTTGGCCCAAGTTATCTCCAGTAATCACTCTGTCCTATGAAGACAGGATTAGTTTTTTTAAGCCAGGAAAGAACACAGATAAAAGTGAAGTATGGAACTGACAAGGAGAACCTGAGAATTTGAGGACTTAAAGATAATTGCAAAAAAAAAAAAAAAAGATAATTGCAACATAAAAATCAGCCCACAAACCATTTAATTTAAGGCTTTTTATTTTCCCTTTAAAGAGAATTCATACATGGCTTTTTAAATAGCAACTTAGTAGCATTTTTATGAAAGCTATTCATTTGCAAGTTTTCATAAGATCTGTCCATATATTCAAAGTATTTACAGATGCAAAGTGTCTACAGATGCAAAGAAGATCACCACCAACAGTGAGACTGAGTGTATTCAAAACAGCTCTCTGTGCAGAATACCTACTGGCGAAAGGTCGAGAGCAGCCCCAGGGGCCGCACTGGCCTAGTTAACCCGGAACCAGAAATGCAGTGCCAGGTGGCCAGAGACCTGGCTTTACCCAGACTGGTTTCCCTGATGGTCCTTTGACCTCTCTCCTTTCAGCCTGAACAAAAACAGGGGATTAGAAAAATAATCCCTAAGGTTCCTTTCAGTAATAAAGACTCTGGAAGAATGGCTGGTCCCTGTAGCTTCCTTCCTCTCAGGAAGAGATACGGGGTAAGATGGACAGCATGTAAACAAAGCCTTAGGTGTAAAGCCAAAGGTCATGGACTCTGGGATCAGAGTCCTGGTTCTAAACAAGGGTTCTATCACATATTAGCTTTCCTCCTCAAAAACATGGGTACAATAATATTCACCTAAAAGGGAAGTTTAGAGAACAAGTGAGCAAATATTGAGAACAAGTGTTCCATTTTTCTCTTTCACCCCACATTCCTATGTAGACCGTTACACAATTAAAAGTCAAAGTGCAAGATTTCCCTGGTGGTCCAGCGGTTAAGACTCTGCTTCCAGTGGGATACAGTTTTGATCCCTGGTCAGGGAACTAGAGAAGGAAATGGCAACCCACTCCAGTACACTTGCCTGGAAAATCCCATGGATGGAGAAGCCTGGTAGGCAACAGTCCATGGGGTTGCAAAGAGTCGGACATGACTGAACAACTTTACTTTCAGGGAACTAATATCCCACATGTTGTGTGGTTCAGCCAAAAAAAAAAAAGTCCAAGTGCCAGTAAGATGGAAAGAATACCACTCCTGCCGTAGTGCTGGCTGCCGGAGATGCAGGTAACCCTTAGCATATCAGAGAGCTTCTCAGGGTCCAAGTTTTCCCCTCCATTAAACACACGGGCCTGTCAGATGACGTCCTAGGGTTCTCCTGACTAGGCGCTGCTCCTACCAAAAAGTGTTTATCACCACCTCTCTGCCCTAAGTGACTTCTGCCCTAAAGTGGTGCGGATTCTGGGGTCAGGCTGCCGACTCTCAAATCCTAACTCTGGCACTTTCTCACTGGCAAGTCACTTAATTTCTGTTTCTCAGTCTCCTCAACAGTATAATGCCATAATAATAACATTCTTGTGTGATGTACACACACACATATTTAAGGCGTTTAGCATGGGCACAGAGTAAGTGCTTGATGAATGTTAGTATGTATTATTGTTCATTTAAAATTTTTAATTATACTATTATATTTAATATATACTATTATACTATTTTATAATTATATATTTATATTTCATATAAATATATATTATAAATATTATATATTATAAATATATAAACATTATAAATAAGTATATATATTTATATATTCTATATAATTTATACTATTATAATTAATACTACTGCTATCACGACAGTCTCAAAGTATCAATTCCATAGCACAGGGAAGAGCAGGAATTCCAGCAGAATTGATTTACTGTCTGTCATCAGATGTGGATGGTACGGTACTGCTCTACAGACTACGAAGGGAAAGCATTTCTGAACAGAGGACAGAAGGCTACAGCTAAACCATATAGCTAAACACGCCAGAGTAACTACCATAACCCTACACTGGTATTCTCTGTACAAACTGCACTAAGCCTTATGTTACTGAATATTAAGTTTATATTCTGTAAGTGTGTTAGTAACTCAAAGTGCTATCTGACTCTTTGTGACCCCATGGACTGTAGCTCGCCAGGCTCCTCTATCCATGGAATTCTCCAGGCATGAATACTGGAGTGGGTGGCCATTTCCTTCTCCAGGTAATCTTCCCAACCAAGGGATCAAACCTGGGTCTCTTGTATTGCAGGCAGATTCTTTACCATCTGAGCCAACAAGGAACTTCCTTATATACTATAGCATTGTTTTAAAGACAAATATCTGGCTTTGTGAAGCATCTGTATTCTAAAATATCATACAAGACTATGAGTATTATTTACAATGATATTTCTTTGAAATGGCAAGAAAAAAACAAAATATACTCTGTAGTCTTACCTTGAATTCCTTAATCCCAGTAAAAATACTGATAGATGAAATGTCATTCTCTCCATTTGGTTTGCATTCGGTCACAATTTCAATGACCTTATCCAATGCCACTTTCATCCGGTCAAATACTCCTTCTTTGTTTTTATGGGCTGACTCACAGTTGGGATGCCTGAGACAAGTCTTTCAAACAATTGAAAAATTTTATGTTAAGATTTGACCCATATCATAACACACAAAATCTTACAGAGAACATGCCATGCTAATAAAAATGGTTCTTTACCAAAATCTCCTGTGTCCCTGGCTCACCCAGCACTTCTCCTCACTAAAGGCGGAAGCAGGATGAGTAGAGAGTAATAGCAAGTTTAAGTGAAAAAGGCAGGGTACAAAATCACATCTTTAGACTTTAACATACTTACTTAAAAATTTTTGGAAAAAAAAAAAAACCCTATATCTTCATCATGATTAAAACTTAAAATGTTGCCTAATATCTGCAAGAGCTAAAAAAAGAATGAGGAAAAATGGACAGATGTTTTATGACTATGGAGGCATCTTTGACTTTCAAAAAACAATATAAAGGAGGAACTATTCCAGGGTCTAGCTGTGAACAGAACCTTCCAAGCAGACTCCAGGGAATCCTGTTTCTGCGTCTTCACTGATCCTAGCATGGAAGCAATGTTCTGAGCAGAAAAGGCAGTTCCCAACAAACTGCTAATGAGATGTTCAGCACCTCATTCTTGAATTGTACCAATTTGCTGGCCGACCGCCATTTGGAATTACAAGCTCTTGATTGACAATTTTGTGAAAAGGAGAATAAGGACTGAGAGGTATGAAATTACAGAATAAACAAACTAAGGGCTGACTTACTACTCCACTGTTACCTAACAGATTCCAGCTCACCGAGTTTTTTCTAGAGCGAGTGTGCGGGCTCCCCAGTGAGAGAGTGCAGGCCATGCAAGCGCTGACCCTGTGTGACTGGCCTCCGTTCACAGCACCTAATAAGCCACTTTCTGCTTAGCTGCTCAATCAAAGCTGACTCACAGATTACCTGATGTTTGGACTGGGGATGGAAATTAACTTTCTTGTTAAAGAATAACTGAAATTTGACTACTATATAGCCTATATTCCAACTGATCACTTTCATCTTTTTAAAATGTGAAATATATATAAATTATGTGCATTTAGGGTTTTTAATTAGCTTACAACATAGTAAAACAAAAATTCTCTTACCTTTGAAGCTGTGAGCAGCATCATTGTACACTTTTCAAGAACTGACCTAGCTGCTGCCATTTTTGCCTTTTTCTTTTCATCCTTCAAATCCTAAAAATGGAATAAAACCACTGAGCTGCCTAGGATCATGTAAAAAACTCAATTTCTTGAGAAGCCCTTTATTCAACAAAAACAATACTCAACAATTTATCTAACACTGCTTTTTTAAAAAGTGACAAATTGAAAAACAGAAACAGAATAAAGTTTAATAAAATATCACCACTTCAGTGTAAATACATTAACACAACAGAGTAAAAACAGCTGCCCTTAATAAGGGTGGCAGAGCCAGGAAGTGAGACGGATAGAAGCTGTCATGTGGCTCATATTCTGGTGGCCTGCACACCTGATATTCTCGTCCCCAGGTGAATACACCTCACTCCCAACCAGAAACAGCCATCCTATGCTTTACCTAATTAAAAGTGACTTATATTCAGCATTTGTGGACCATTATTTCCTTCCAATCAGACACTTCCAATCAAGTCAACTCTTTCAGGGACTATGTCTGATTAATCCCATCTAAGTGCTTATTCATCTCAATGTGAATTTTTTTTTTAATCCTAAAATTAGCCTATATGCTGCTCTAAAATCTTCTTAAGATATTCCTTGGGTATATAATTTTCCCCAACTAGAATATAAACTCTGAAGTAGACACTGTATTTTGTTTTTTTCATTTGGTTTCTCTTCATAGAGCCCTCAATATGAAGGTGTGCTATCACAGAGGGTCCTCAAATCTTGCTGATTAAATCTACAATCAAATACTCTCATAATAGTTTGATTATAACCATCTAAATCAGAGGTCAGCAAAGATTTTCAATAGAAGGCCAGATAATACATTTTTGAGACTTTCTGGTTCATTTGGTCTCTGAAACAACTACTTAATCTACCAGTGTGGTATGAAGGCTAGCTTAGATAATACATAAACAAATTAATATAGCTCTATTATAATAACTTTTCTTATGGACACTGAAACTTGGATTACATAAAATTTTCAAAGTAGTTTTTTTCTCATTTGTGAATTGGATGAAAAGTCTTTTCTTACAAATAACAAAGACCTAAAGTTTGAAAATGATTTGCCTTTTATTTAATAAATTAGAGTGGATGTAAAGTTATCTCAATAATATCAGTCTCATTCACTGCATCCCAATACAGCTTTCTTTAATAGGAAACAAAGTTGTATCTAGTAAATGAAAAACTGCACAAAACCCCGAAGCTAATTCAGATCACAAGGTAACATTCCAAAGGTCTGTGTCCTGCATGTGATTATCACCCATCAGGATTAGCAATCAAAAATAAAAGTTGAGGTCACTGCTAAAATTTCCACCTATTCCTTATCTTTAACATACTGAACGGGACTTCTGGCAAAAAAAACCCCTGTGGGTCTAGATGACAATGCATCAAATGTATATGCATAACACTTGTAAACCATACATTACACCACATATTGTAGGTGATAGCAAGTGATCAAAAAAGATGGCATCTCAATCTGTTAGAGGCCTGGTCCAAAGGACAAAACAGAGGTCTCATTAACCCCGGATGTCCAAGAAGCACTAAGTGAAGCATATAATCCATCCTGCCACTTTTCACACCAATAACCATCTTTCAATTCCAGCTACAACCAGCAAAGTTCACACCTAAAACCAATCTACGGGACTCTACCAGAGCATCTCAAGAAGAGGTCAATTATATATTTAACTTGACATGATAAAATCATGCACAAGTGCCCCAACAAGAAAAGGCAATCCTGGATATGATGTGGTCTTCTATCTCCCCTAAACTTCAGAACTTACAGTCTGAATTGGGGAACTAACATCGTGGTGTAGCTTGAAAACTACAGGCTTTAGAATAAGACATAATTGAGTTCAATCTGCTAGAAGAGTAACCTTAGGAAAGTTTATTATCCTCTCAAGTTCAGCCTCATGTGTGAAACAGTAATAACAATACCTACTTACACAGCTGTTTTGAGAATCAAGCCAATGCAATAACCCAGTGCTTGGGTTATTATTATTAAACTAATGTAGAACAATTATAGAAAGATGTAACAATAGAATAATATATAACAAGTTACACAAAGAACAATAACAGAGATATGTAATAAAATATCATCAGGATATATCTGATGACTCATTTATTTGCCTGAGCCCTCATAGAAGAGTCAAATGGAAAATTCTGTGAAAGAGGAAGTACTTGAATTGGGCCTTGAAGGCAAGTATGACCTTTCCCAGTGTGAGAGGTGGGAAAACATTTAACTATTATCTGTGAGCAACAAAGGACACACAGATCTATTTACTTTATCCTGGCTTCTTTAGGAAAGTCTTTTAAGAGCAAGGTTATAGATTTATAAGCAAGACAACCAATCCAAATGATCACAAAGTTCACATCTCTAACAAAACTGAAAAGTATGCATGTATCTCAAGACTTTTAAACAGGGTAAATACATACATTTTGTCTATCTCCAGTTAGATGTGCAAACTCCACCATTTCATTTCCAAATTGACTGAATATTTGGACAAACTCTTGAAAGCTATTCACTTTCTCCAGTCTTTCCATAGTTGCAAGAACCTGCAAAACAGATTATTTTATTTCAGGTTTAGATGTGAAAGAAACTAAGACTTCAAGCTTGAGGTAACAGAGGAACAAAAGAGAAATTCTAAATTCTAGAGGAAAGCTGGGAAAGAGTCCCAGGAGAAGACAGGGAAGGAGGAGGGACTCAGAGAAGTAGATTCAAAAATTAGAGTAATCTAGGGAATGGTTTCTTTTTAGGATAGGAAGACTTGGGCTTCCTTGAAAATTAAAGGAAAAACTAAATGACTAAATATGCAAGAGTTCCCATTTATGTAACAAAGTCTGGAGAAGGTGCCAACTGGGCAGGGCTCAGGTAAATCGAGTGTTCAGAGAACGAGGATGGGGATGGGGACAAGAGATGACAGAAGAAGCTTGAAGGTTCAAAGAACCAGAGCTGGGGAAACTCCATCCTTCTCAGAAAGGTGGAAGGAAGACTGGGGAGTAGGAAGGGAGATGGGGGACTTCAAGAGCAGGAAAAGTTTGAATCAGTCAGAAACTGCTTGTGGTGAATAACTGTCAAGAAGTTTTGGGCAGCCAGGGGTGGACAGATGGCATGTTTGTAACAGAGCCAACAGACAGTGTTACGTATTTTCTTGATATCAGAAATAAATAGATGTGAAACATATTTTCAAATTCTTTTCTCTAAAGTAACAGTACTGGATTGGTTTTAGTCAGACCAAGATAGGTAAAGAAAACACAGATATCCTGTGTTTACTTATTTTTAATGAGGCTGTGATAGATGTTTGGCATGTTAATGTACCCTGGTAGCGCAGGAAGTCCAGGCGACTAAGGCAGATAAGGCAGATCCCACCACTGAGCAAAATCTCTGTCTTTCAGAGAGAGGAAGGTTTTTCTTCTTCCTCTAGCACCGCCCGATCCACCTCTCTAAATTCTTTTTCTCTTTAATCTTACACTTTTCCAGGTAGTCTTGTCTTCAAACCAGTGGGAGGGTCCCTTCCCTGGCTGACTGCTTTCCCTGCCTCAGGGATTATCCAGGGAAAGAAGTGATTGTATCAATACACACCCTGGCTCCCCGCTGATGGAGAAAACAGCCATTATCTGAGAGACTAGAAGAGGTCTAGGCTGGGAGAGTTAAAATCTGTTCTTGAAATTTTGTGATGATTCAGTAAAATTTAGAAACTGCATACAGAAATTTTACAGATGTACAGAACAGACTTTTGGACTCTGTGGGAGAAGGCGAGGGTGGGATGTTTCGAGAGAACAGCATCGAAACACGTATATTATCTAGGGTGAAACAGATCACCTGCCCAGGTTGGATGCATGAGACAAGTGCTTGGGCCTGGTGCACTGGGAAGACCCAGAGGGATCGGGTGGAGAGGGAGGTGGGAGGGGGGATCGGGATGGGGAATACATGTAAATCCATGGCTGGTTCATGTCAAATGTATGACAAAAACCACTACAATATTGTAAAGTAATTAGCCTCCAACTAATAAAAATAAATGATAAAAAAAAAAGAAATTTTATAATGTGCATAACTGTGGTTTCAGGTGATTGAGCTTTTTCTTTTTTTTCTTTTTTAATTGGAGGAAAATTGCTTTACAAAGTTGTACTAGTTTCTGCTATACAACAACATGAATCAGCTGTAAGTCTATACATAACCCCTCCCTCTTAAGCGTTCCCCCCACCCAAGCATTTTCTTAAGCATAAAAATTGTTACTATTATTTCTGACTTGGTGGGGGGAGGTACTGAGGAATTCAGTATTTTCATCAGGCAGGTTTCCACTACATACATTGTCATGGTACTTGACTTTTTATCCCAAATTTGTGCACATCAAAACTTTTCACAAATAAACCTCAGCAAGCAGATAATGGCTTTCTGAGAAGAAATGTTATTTGTACTCAAAAGTTTAGGTCCACATGTGTTGAGCATAAAAGTTCTTTCGAAAAGAAAAAAAAAAGTTTAGGTCCAGTATACACAACATTTAGGAATTATAGGTATAGATGAAACACCACTTTTAAGCTATAGACAATTAGAATAATAAACATTTAAAATAGACAAACATTGCCAAATTACTTGCAATTAACTTAAAAAAACAACTTTTTGTACAACCCTGAAAGACACAAGCAGGAACATGAGAAAGGTAAGTACCTTATTTCTCGATCTTATTATGTGCTTGACGACTACTCGATCTGCCAGCAGCAACACTCTCGTCACTGAAGAAAGAAGTGATCTTGCAGCCTTTATGACTCCTGTTTTATCTGTAAAAATTGTGATCTGGCCATCTGACTCTGGATGATTCAGGCTGCTCACATCTGTAAGTGCTGCAATTGTTTCTCCTAAGAAGAAAGGTGGTGGTGGGGTAGGGGAGGAGGGGAAATTAAACGGGGAATAAGATACACAAATTAAAATCCAGACTTTATTCTTTAAGGTAATGTGCTCAGCGTAGAAACTCAACTTCAGGAATAAGAAATAGCTCCTTGATGAGCCCAAAGATTATCATACAAGGTTCCCTAAAGGCATAATAATGGCACATTCCTAAGAACTGTGAAAAATTGTTGCCTTCAGTGAGTTTGAAAAATATTACAACTTTTGTTTCCAGTGGTATGCAAACTGCTGCTGCTAAGTCGCCTCAGTCGTGTCCGACTCTGTGCGACCCCATAGACGGCAGCCCACCAGGCTCCCCTGTCCCTGGGATTCTCCAGGCAAGAACACTGGAGTGGGTTGCCATTTCCTTCTCCAATGCATGAAAGTGAAAAGTGAAAGTGAAATCACTCAGTCGTGTCCAACTCTTAGCGACCCCATGGACTGCAGCCTACCAGGCTCCTCTGTCCATGGGATTTTCCAGGCAAGAGTACTGGGGTGGGGTGCCATTGCCTTCTCTGGGTATGCAAACTACATGATCCCAAAAGCCTGTTCTATAAGACTAAGTAAGAGCGACCCCCAGAGCCAATAATCAAAGAACCTAAAAGCAGAGCTGTAAACAGCTGCCCAGGGGTGAGGAGATAGAGATTGGGGGGCGGGCGGGGGGATTATCTGGTGGTTACAGGGGAGAAGGCGTCACAATCTGAAGGGGCGTGGGTTCTTCCAAAAACCAGGGAGGGAAGACAAAGTTTTGGGCACCAACAGGAGGCATCCTCAGTGACAAGGGGAACTAGAAAAATCAGCCCTCAGCAGGCAGAGGGAAACAATAAGCAAGTTCATCTGCTGGTCAGCCTGGGCTCTGGTGGCAAAACAAAACTGTTCCTCCTAAGAACTCAAGTCCCAGGCTTGCTGTCTGAATATACACTATTCATGATGCCCAGCATAAGCCATTCCACCAAACCAACTCCCTACCTCTAGAAAAAGTCTCTTCTTCACTGTTACTATGAAAATATTTTAATTTCTGTAGTAGCAATTATCCATCAGTAAAACAATTCAAATATTTCTTATGCCCCTGGAGTTTCTCAAACCTTACTTTTTAAGTAAGTAGATTAAAAAAAAAAAAAAGCTTTTCATCATCTTGTAATATTCAAGATCATATTTGAAGTCCTAAATAAATCTGAGTCCATAATGAATTGATTTTTCTCACAAAAGCCCTCCTGTCAATACTATTACATACACCCAAGAGGTTAGGATCTTGAGAAAAATTATCTGAATTTTAACAGACGTATCACAAGGTACGATGTAATGAAGTCACAATTCAGGAAGATTAGTCTGATAGAAGCTTATAAAATGGACTGGAAAGACTCAGAGCCAGGCTACTAATCACGCAGCTATTTTAATTGTGGATGTGAAGTGGTAAGGATCTTACCAGGATGACAGCCATAGGAATATTAAAAAAAAGATGATTTGAGAGACACTGAGGAAAAGAAAATACAAAATCAGGACCTTAACACTGATAAGAAGGAAAGGAAAAGTGAAAAAAATGGCCTCAAGGTTGTAAACCCAAGTCACTTAAAAAAGTCAGTAGGGCATGGGAAGGGAGATGATAAATTTAGTTTCAGACAATAGGAACTTGATAGGACACAGGAAAACCCAAAAGAGAAGCCACTACATATGGAATGGCTACATATCATGACCACAGCTGGAGTTCCACTAACAGATGGAATCTGTGGTAGCCAGTCTCCAAGGCGGCTCCCACTGGTCCCCACTCCTGGTATTTTCATCCTTGTGTTCCCTCCTCCCACGTCGTACCAGGGTTGGCGTGGCAGAAGTGATAGTATGTTACCCCCAAAGTCATGTTGTTAGAGACGATGAGGTTGATATCTTGGTTTCTCTCCCCTTTTGAGGAAAGCCGTTACCGTGCTGTATGTAGCCACGACCACAGACATGTACACATGGGGAGAAGCTGGGCCCTCCGGTCAACAGTCCGCAAAAATGTGAAGCCTGCCAATCATCAAGAGGCGGAGCTTGAAAGCAGATCCTGCAGTCCAGGCAAATGCTCAGACAGCTGCAGGCCCAGCCAACACCCTGAGTGCAATCTCATGAGACACACAGACCCAGAACCAGCAGGTTAAGCTACTCCTTGATTTCTGACCCTCAGAAACTACCTGAGGGAAGAGACGTTTGTAGTTTTAAGTTGCTAAGTTTGGGTTAATATGTTACACAGCAATAGGGAACCAATACAAAGATTATACAGCAAAATACAGAGAAAAGAGAGGTTAGAATTAAACTTGAATGTACAGAGAAAGGAGTTGGAGGGGAAGTATCACTTTGCAAGAGCAAGTAGTATAAAAATGTTTCCTCTGCACCCCTGGAAAATGTTCCTTTCTCCAGTAGTTCTCAATCGTCAAATATAATAATATGAGCTTGCGCTATATATAGCATCTTTTAACCTTTCCTTTTTCTGATTAAACCTCAGGCATTCAGCCTTAAGTTTGCAAGATGGTAACATTTGGTTAGCTGTACCAACAAAGTTAAATGCTTCCTTAGTATTATAGCGTTGTTCCAAATATAGACTACTCTGAAATTAGTTTCCTGGAAAAGTCACAAAGTTGCCTTATAGATTCATGGTTGTCATTTTTTAACTTGTTATATGTGTTAGTGTTTTGTCTTAAAGCAAAAACTCGGAAATCAGTGAAATACAAATATTTATTGAGCACCCATAGAAAATGTAAAGCTTGATTAGAAGCCAAGCAAAAAGTAAAAACATTGGGTGCGGGGGTGGATGAAATGGGTGGAGTCAAAAGGTATAAAATTCTAGTTATAAAATAAATCAGAGGGATATAAATGTACAGCCTAGCACCCATAGTTAATAATACTGTATTGCATATTTGAAAGGTGCTACAAAGTAAATCTTAAGGTCTCACTGCAAGAAGAAAAAAATCATTACACTGAATACTTGACACTAGTATAATGCTGTATGTCAATTATACCTCAAATCAGAAAAAAGCAAACCTATAACGCAAAAGCTCAACACAAGAAAAGTTACAACTAATAATTATGACAACTAATATTTACTGAGCACTTTCTTTTTTTTTTTTTTTTTTTACTGAGCACTTTCTATGTGTCAAATGCACACATGCATTCTATCAAAACACTTCTATAAACACTAACCATATCCCCATTTTATAGATGAGAAAACTGAGATTATGCTCCTCAAATGACCATTCTCATCCTTTTATCTGAGTGACTTTAAGAGGCAGTTCTCAAAAAGGAAAAGGACACTGCACATAAGAGAGAACATGTGGAGACCATGATACCAGACAGCTTCCAAAATATGCCTGCATGGAGCTCTGCGGCTTAGAGGACTTTCAGGGCTGCACAGTCTCCTGGAGCTGGGGTAGGCATACACGTCCTCGTTCCTCCAATTCTTAGAGCACAGTGACATGCTAGGAAGCCAATAAGGTGAGGATTCAAACTGCCCTTTCATTTAAAAATCCTCCCTCTTGCTTTAATTAAGGATTTGCTTAAGAAACAATAATGTGAAGAACATCTCTACATTTTCTGTTGAATTGTCCATTGCATTATGTAATAGTGTCTGTCGTGTAAGTGCCCATACAATTCAGTTCCTGGAAAAAAGCTTCTCTCCTCTTGACGAGCTGGTTTGTTTCCTTCCAACAAACAATGAGAATTAAATAACCATTTCTTTCCCACATTTTTTGTCTAGCTTTACAGGAAGTACAAAGATAAATTCCATGTTTAATTAGAGTAACAATGTTGGCCAATTCATTTCTAGTATATTTATTTTCATCTCCTATTTTAGTGGGTTTATTAATCATATATTTAATTGTAACTCTTTTATATCTCTCTCTCTTTTTTTTTTTTTTGGCCAAACCACACAGCTTTCAGGATCTTAGTTCCCCAATCAGGGATTGAACCTGGGCCATGGTGGTGAAAGCTTGAGTCCTACCCACTGGACCACAAGGAAATTTCCTTAAATCTCTTTTAATATGAGGCAAAACATAAATTATGAATAGACTAAAGCCATCTCATTCCTATTCTATTGATATATCCTAGTGAGTGACTAGAAACTCAAGCTCAGAATCCCCCCTTTGGTTTAATCAATAACCAAATTCTATCATTTAATCACCTAGTAAATATTTAGTGTACTTTTTCTGTTTTTTATACCCCTAAGACACTGTCTTGATTTAGCCCGGTACAATGGAAAAGCATATTAACTCCATATTAATCTCTCTGCCTTTAGTCTCAACCCTCTCTCAACCATCCCTCATTTGTTCACTTCCTCCATGCAACCAGAAAGATTTCTAACATAAAACTACTGTCTTTCATCTGGCTCCAAATCCCAGAGTCTATCAAGTACAGAACAGTACCTGAAGCCATTCACATACCATTAGGGCATGTATCGTCTGGCTGGCCCCTTCACATTGCTTGGCCCTGTCTCACCCACTTCATTCCCCCCATGATGACACTCCAAACACACCTGCTCCTGCCTCAGGGTTGCCCACCTCAATTAATAGTGCCATCATCTACCAGGCAAACGTTGGAGTTGTGACCCCTCTTCTCATCACATCCCACATCCAAACTATCAGCAAAACCTACCAGCTCCACCTTTTCAACATAACCGAATGCAACTGCTTGCACCACCTCAAGTGCTATCGTTGGGCCTAAGTCACCATCATCTATCACAGCCTCCTAACTGGTCTCTGACTTCACTCTTATAACTCCTAAAATCTATTCTCTGTACAGAAGCCACCAGGAATCCTTTTAAACTATAAATGAACTTGTGTCACTACCCTGCCCCAAACCTTCCACTAGCCCCAAGACACAGAAAACAGTCCAAAGTGCCTATCTTTGCCCAGAAAGCCATACCTGTTCTCACTCTACTCCTGGCTAGGAAAGGCCTTTCCCCAGATACTGACACAGCTGGGGTCCTCATTTCAGCGCTGTCTCTGCTCCAATGTTACTCGCTTAGAGAGATTTCCTCTCCCCCTCTTTCAGGAGTTCTCATTTCAGTAGTTCTCAACTCAGGGCCATTTTGATCCCTCAAAGGACATTTGGGAATGTCGAGACATCTTTGGTTGTCTCAATGGTGGAAGAAGGGATTTTCTGACATCCAATAGATGGCAGGTGGGGGTTCTACAATGCACAGGGCAGCCCCCAACCCCAACAAAGAACCACCAACAAATAATTATCCAGCCTAAAACGCCAACAGCATCACAGTTGAGAAACCCTGCTGGCCTTCCTAAAAGAAACCTCCTTTGGTCTCCTAACCCTTATGCTGCCTTGTTATCTTTTCCATAACCATCTCTACCTGCTATTAGGCACTTATCTATTTGTTCATTTGTTTGTGTCTCCCTCTTTAGAATACAAGTTCCACAAAGGCAGACTTTTTTTTTTTGTATATATATATAGATTTATTTATTTATATAAAAAGACCAATAGCAGTATGTTATGCATCAATAGCAGCAACAGCTTTTTCCAAGTTCTGCAGTCATCTGAACAAAATTATAGAGACATCCAGCACACTCCATTAAAAAAAAAAAGGTAAAAAAAAACAAAACCTCAGAAAACAGCAAATTTCTGTTACTGTTGTGGTACCTGGCACCATTTCTTTTAAATTACATTTCTCAATCATCATCTGGAAAGAAAACATTCTAGAATAACGTCATTAAAAACAGATCTGATAAAGCACGGTCACTACTACATATCATAAAGCAGGTACAAGATATTTTACATTCACAGAGGTATGATACAGTACTGTCCTACATCTATAATACTAGAGGATATAATTAAAAAGGCATTATTTCAGACTTGATTCTACTTTTCCAGCAGAGGGAAGGGCAGACTTTTTATTGACTTCTACGTAGCTATATCCCTTAGGTCTAGAAGAATGCCTGGCATATGGCCAGCACTCAGTAAATATTTATTTAAAGAATAAGTGGATAAATGATACTCAACAAAATTATTTGTATCCAGCAAAACTCCCCAGTTCTCTCAGGCTTCTATGCCACCAGTTACAGAGCCTTCTGAAATATCAGGAAATCTGAAGTCAGATTTGTCTCCTGTAGACACAGGAACGTGCTTATTTTTACTTCCATCTTCCATATGGTGGCAAACAGGTTACTACGCTCCTTGACAGCAGAGTCCGTGCCTCACATTCTCTACACCTCTCACGCTCAATGGCTGATGGCAAGGGTGGTAAAGAATCCACTTGCCAACGCAGGAGACGCCAAGGGATGCGGGTTTGATCCCTGGATCAGGAAGATCCCCAGGAGTAGGAAATGCAACCCATTCCAGTATTCTTGCCTGGAAAATTCCACAGACAGAGGAACTGGTGGGCTACAGCCCATGGGTTTGCAAAGAGTCGGACATGACTGAGTGCACACATACACAAGGGTGGTGGGCTTCTACCCTGCCCGGTGAAAAAATGCAACGATGCAGACTTAGGACTTGATCCAAGAGACATTCAATATTCCTGGAAGCTAATCCAGGGCTTTAATGACCTAGGCACCTGTACTAACAGGATTAAAACACAGTACACATCTTTCCTCAACATGAGACAATCATTTGTCATGAGATCCAAAGCAATAAAATTGGTATAAACAGGCTTCAACATACCTGCTTGTTTAGCTTCAATACAGGCAATATTTATTTCTTCTTTCAAGTCCCAGTTTTCATTGGCTATAGCTTCCCCCACTTTAACAAATCTTCCAACTGCCAAGTTGACGGCTTGTCCTACACGCTGAATTGCTTGCAGAGTTTTATCAGACTTTTTGGTATTATCTTTATGATTAATAAGTGTGGTGATCTAAAAATAAAAGATAAAAAGCAAACTGCTTAGAGTTTATCCCAGTACTTTTTTTAAAAGCAATATCACAAAGGCCAAGAAAATTAAGCCCAGCATACCACACTAGCCTGATAAACTCAATTAATTGATAGCTTTAATGCTTCAACCCAGAGACAACCAGCAAACACCGTGCATCTCTCCTGAGGTCAATGTTTCTTTCAATAACATTTCCAAATTTACCTGAGGGGGGTTATCAAGGGCACACATTTCTGTAAACCCTCCAGATAGATCAACAAATCAGAAAGACAGGAGAAAACCAGAAGAGGGTTGATTCTTACATTCAAAGAATCCACAGAAAACCAAGGCACTTCAGGTCTAGATGCTTCGACAGTGACTTGGGCTACGTAGAAATCAATAAAAAGTCAATAAAAAGAGAGGAGAGACAGCATTTTGCTCACCCGGCACTTCACTCTGCTGCCGAGCACAGCGTGTCGGTTGTACAAAATGCTATGTGAACCCTTGATGCTTACTGAAATAACCAGACACTTGAGAAGGACCAATGCAATCTGTGTTTTATGTTTCGCCAAGGTTTGTTGTAGACTCAAAGTAAATAAAATACCAAGAGCTTTAACACTTGACTCCAGGCCTTGAAATAAAATATAAAAGGTGAAAAGTTAAGCTGCTTGAAACAAACATAAATCTTCAAATGTCCTAGAAAATTAGTACATGAACTATACTGACACACAAAAATATTTAAAGAATGTTACATGAAAAATGTAAATCCCAAATGGTACATGTCCACTGCGTTTAACTTTGAAATGATTTCTATAAGTATATTAACAAAGACCAGAATAGAGAATTAAGAGAAGAGGAAGAGGCTTGCTCTTTGATCAACTGCGATGTGGCAAGCACTTTATGTGCTATGGTATTAACAGTTTTGGGTCAGTAAGGCCTGTGTATGCATCTTGGCTCTGCCATTACTAACTAAATGACCTAGGGAAATTTACTTAAAAATCTCTCTAAATTTCCTCATCTCTCATACTCTTCCTCAAATTTTGAAAATGTTCTAGAATCCAGGTCCTGAGGATAACAAGACGAACACAATCCTGCCCTCATTCTGTTTACAGTCTAACCCGGTAACAATAATTCAACTGTACAAAATATATTTGCTGAACACCTATCATAGGCCAAATAAAATTCTAGGCAGTGATGAAACAGCAATGAACAAGAAAGAAAAGGCCCACAATCTAACGGAGCTTACATTCTAGTGGAGTGAGGGGAGACACAGTAATCACACAAACAGGTTAAAGAAATCAACATAAATGCTATGGAAAACATTAAAACAAGACAATGTGACAGAAAGTATCTTTGTAGCTACCTGAGATTAGTTGACCTTCCTTCTATGAAGAAGTGATATTTATACTGTGATCTAAATGATATCAAGTAGAGAGGCTGGTAAACATCAGGGGATAAAGTATTGCAGGGAGAATAACTGTTTAAGAAAGATAGGGAAGAAAAGAAAAAGGAGGGGCATCCTTCAGAATGAGACTGTTCTTTTTTTTTTCAAAGAATAAAGTAAGGCCAGAAGTGGTTAAAGAATGGTGGGCAAGAGGACAGGTGTAAAACCAATATCCAACAGCTAGGCATGGACCAACCATCTAAGGCTGTGAATTGGAATAGAGAGTTTGTATTTGACTTTGCGTGACAGAAAGTCACTGAACAATTTTTGAGGACAGTGGTATAATCTCAGTAGTGGTTTTAAAATGTGTACTCCAGGGCAAGGATATACAATGGAAAAAAGACAACCTCTTTAACAAGTGGTGCTGGGAAAACTGGTCAACCACCTGTAAAAGAATGAAACTAGAACACTTTCTAACACCATACACAAAAATAAACTCAAAATGGATTAAAGATCTAAATGTAAGACCAGAAACTATAAAACTCCTAGAGAAGAACATAGGCAAAACACTCTCCAACATAAATCACAGCAGGATCCTCTATGACCCACATCCCAGAATATTGGAAATAAAAGCAAAAATAAATAAATGGGACCTAATGAAACTTAAAAGCTTTTGCACAACAAAGGAAACTATAAGCAAGGTGAAAAGACAGCCCTCAGATTGGGAGAAAATAATAGCAAACGAAGCAACAGACAAAGGACTAATCTCAAAAATATACAAGCAACTCCTGCAGCTCAACTCCAGAAAAATAAATGACCCAATCAAAAAATGGGCCAAAGAACTAAACAGACATTTCTCCAAGGAAGACATACAGATGGCAAACAAACAAATGAAAAGATGCTCAACATCACTCATTATCAGAGAAATGCAAATCAAAACCACAATGAGGTACCATTACACGCCAGTCAGGATGGCTGCTATCCAAAAGTCTACGAGCAATAAATGCTGGAGAGGGTGTGGAGAAAAGGGAACCCTCTTACACTGTTGGTGGGAATGCAAACTAGTACAGCCGCTATGGAAAACCATGTGGAGATTTCTTAAAAAATTGGAAATAGAACTGCCATATGACCCAGCAATCCCACTTCTGGGCATACACACCGAGGAAACCAGATCTGAAAGAGACACGTGCACCCCAATGTTCATCGCAGCACTGTTTATAATAGCCAGGACATGGAAGCAACCTAGATGCCCATCAGCAGACGAATGGATGAGGAAGCTGTGGTACATATACACCATGGAATATTACTCAGCCATTAAAAAGAATTCATTTGAATCAGTTCTAATGAGATGGATGAAACTGGAGCCCATTATACAGAGTGAAGTAAGCCAGAAAGATAAAGACCATTACAGTATACTAACACATATATATGGAATTTAGAAAGATGGTAACGATAACCCTATATGCAAAACAGAAAAAGAGATGTATAGAACAGACTTTTGGACTCTGTGGGAGAAGGCGAGGGTGGGATGTTTCAAGAGAACAGCATCGAAACATGTATATTATCTAGGGTGAAACAGATCACCTGCCCAGGTTGGATGCATGAGACAAGTGCTTGGGCCTGGTGCACTGGGAAGACCCAGAGGGATCGGGTGGAGAGGGAGGTGGGAGGCGGGATCGGGATGGGGAATACATGTAAATCCATGGCTGATTCATGTCAATGTATGACAAAAACCACTACAATACTGTAATGTAATTAGCCTCCAACTAATAAAAAAAATAAAATAAATAAAAAAAAAATAAAATGTGTGCTCCTGTTCTTCAATATTTCTCCTTTCAAGCTTCATTTCTCTCCCCTTAAGTGAGATGAAATTAGTGACCCACTTCTAACGAACAGAATAAAGCAGAAGCAAGTATGTACCTCTGAGAGTAGGTATTAAAACACACTGTGACTTACATTTCTCTCTCTCTCTCTCTGGGATCAATCACTGTGGAAGAAAACCAGCTACCAAATCATGGAGGACAACCAATGCTATGGAGAGACCCACGTGGTAAATAAAGTCTTAGAAGAGTGTCCGGTATTTAGTAAACATTACATAATGACTGCATGCTAAGTCACTTCAGTCTGTCTGACACTTGTCGACCCCATGGACTGTAGCCCATCAAGCTCCTCTGTCCATGGGATTCTCCAGGCAAGAATGCTGGAGTGGGCTGCCATGCCCTCCTCCAGGGGATCTTCCCAACTCAGGGATCCAACCTGGGTCTCCTGCATTGCAGGCAGATTCTTTACCATCTGAGCCACCAGGGAACTGCCTGCAATACAGGAGACCTGGGTTGGATCCCAGGGTCAGGAAGATCTCCTGGAGAAGGGAATGGCTACCCATTCCAGTATTCTTGCCTGGCGAATTCCGTGGACAGAGGAGCCGGGTGGGCTACAGTCCATGGGGGTCACAGAGCCAGACATAACTGAGTCACTAACACTTTCACATAATGATTAGATGTTACCCAATTTACATTTCTAGAATCTCTGTTCTTTCCTCATGTTTGTGATGCTATCTTATTTTCTAGAATAACTGACAGTAATCTCTTGATTGAAATGGATTATCTTAATTTATTTTGTGGGAAGATAAGAAAAGAGGTGAAGATCCAGGAAGGGGGAAAAAAACAAACATGGCAGTAGGCCAGAAAACGGAACAAAGTCTTAATTCCCTGAGATCTGAAAAACAAGGGAGTCAGCCCAGGACAGAGAAGTTCATCTCTGGGCTTAACTCGCTAGTAAACTCTCAAAATTACTACATATAAAAATCGACTAATCTGCTCTAGAAACCAATATAGAAGAAAGCATACTGAATTATGTTGAGGTCTTTAAAAGCAGGAAAAGGGGCTCTTTCACTCACTCTATACACCATTTCTGTGTTTTATCTTTGCATTAAAAACACCTATATTCACATACACAAATCAGCAGAGCACCCCATATGGACTCAACTCATCTCCAACTTGGTGAGACCAACAATCCTGAAAGCTTCTAGGACAGTGCAGTGAGAAGACAGGGGAGCTACCCCAGAGATTTCAAGCCTCTGTGTAGTGGTGAGTGGAGTAAATCTATGAGAGACAGGAAAAGACTGGTGGGTGGTGGAATAACATTCCAGGCTGGGGTGGGGCTGTGTGGCAGATTTCCCTCTTCCCTTCCTTGGATAAAAGCATTGTAAGACCGGGAGTGGGAGTTTTGACAGGAAGAATAAAGTGATTATTAAAGAAGGTGGGTGCTGCTCTGCAGGAATTATGCTTGGGACTTAGCCCAGGGCATGTTAAAAAAAAAAACTGTCTGAATTACAAAACATACAACAAATGAGTGTATATAACTGATATTTGTATCATTTAAAGAAATGACAGGAAGACAAAACATACCTACCACCAACCTTCAGAAAACACTACCAGCACCTCTGAAAATCCAGGTGCCCTATGGGTCCCTCACTTTCCATATCACCCCCTCACCAGCCAAAAGAAACCACTATTCTAATTTTGTGCTCATCATTCCCTTATTATAACTATTGCACCTGTGTTATATCCTTAAATGATACATGGTTTTGTTTTGCCTGCTTTGAACCTTTTAATTTTTTCTC